ATTAAAAAGTCAGAAAATAACAGATGCTGCCCAGGCTGTGGAGAGTAAGGAAGGCTTTTATACTGTTGGTGGGAGTGTAAATTAGTACAATCATTGTGGAAGACTGTGGCAATTCCTCAAGGATCTAGAACCCAAGATACCATTTGACCCAGCAATCCCATTACTGGGTATATACTCCAAGACTTTTAAATTATTCTACTATAAAGACACATGCACACGTATATCTAATTCAGCACTATTCACAATAGCAAAGACTTGGGACCAACCCAAATGCCCATCAATGATAGACTGGATAAAGAAAATGTGGCACATATACCATGGAATACTATGCAGCCATAAAAAGAATGAATTCATGTTCTTTGCAGAGACATAGATGAAGGTGGAAACCATCATTCTCAGCAAACTAACACAGGAACAGAAAACCAAACACCGCATGTTCTTACTCATAAGTGGGAGATGTTGAACAAAGACAACATATGGACACAGAGAGGGGAACATCACATATCAATTCCTGTCAGGGGGTGGGGGCCAAGGGGAGGGAGAGCATTAGGACAAACAGCTAATAGATGCGGGGCTTAAAACCTAGGTGGTGGGGGTTGACAGGTGCAGCAAACCACCATGGCATGTGCATACCTAGGTAACATGTTCTGCACATGTATCCTAGAACTTAGAGTAAAATAAAAATAAAAATAAATAAATAACAAATAAAAATAAAATTGTCTCCCTACCCCCCTATAAAAAAAGAATAGTAAACAAATGGTCCAGCCATTTATTTGCGCCTAAGGAATAAAAGAAGTATTATGAAACAAAGTAATCTATTCCCCGTTTTTTTTTTTTTGAGACCGAGTCTTGCTGTGGCACCCAGGCTGAAGTGCCATGGTGTGATCTTGGCTCACTGCAACCTCTGTCTCCTGGGCTCAAGCAATTTTCCTGCCTCAGCCTCCCGAGTAGCTGGAATTACAGGCACCCGCCACCACTCCAGGCTAATTTTTGTATTTTTAGTAGAGATGGGGTTTCACCTTTTTGGCCAGGCTGGTCTCAAACTCCTGACCTTGTGATTTGCACACCTTGATCTCCCAAAGTGCTGGAACTACAGGTGTGAGCCACTGCACATGGCCCATCTAGTCCTCTTTCAACAACACTGATAAAAACTAACATTTATTGAGGGCTTATGACTTATTAGTCACTATTCTAAGAGCTTCAATTTGCATTTTTCATCTCATGTAATCCTCATGACATATGAGATTCAAAGGAAAGAGCTATTGAGTAATTCATCAAAGATCATAAACCCAGCAAGTAGGGAAGCCGAGATTTTAATTCAAGCAGTGCCCCATGTTCCTAATCACCATATTTAGCTGTTCTTTTCTGGAGGAAAAGAAAACACCATGGTGTGCTCTTGCCGTACTGGGCTTCAATCACTTACTCATTCGTTTCAGAGAAAATAACTAATCTTAAGAGCTACATTAAGAGCTTAGCCGGCCAGGCATGCAGAACAATGGCAAAAAGCAAAGCACTAAAGTTGCAAGAGAGGAAAAAAAACCCTAAGAAAATTTAGTTGCATCAACTTTCTACCTCCAAAGTTTTAGCGTCTCTCATTGGTTTACGTACTTTAAACTGTAACTAAGACAGTACTAAGCAGAAAAACAGCAGGCATCACTGACAGCATTACTCAGGAAGATAACATTTGAGGAAAACTGCTAGAAGAAAAAAACATACTTGTATAATGTATGACGCTCCAAGTATAGCACCTTGAAAATGCTTAATAATTTTTAAAAATATATCAGTATTTATTTTAGTTTTACTTTTAGAGACACTTTACAGTAATTATAGAAGTTTTCATGAAGATGAGATTACTTGCTACTAACAGGGTTTTTTTTTGTTGCTGTTTTTTTTCTTTTGAGACAGAGTCTCTCTCTGTTTTCCAGGCTGGAGTGCAATGGTGGGATCTCAGATCACTGCAATCTCTGCCTCCTGGGTTCAAGTGATTCTCCTACCTCAGCCTCCACAGTAGTTGCGATTAAAGGTGTCAGCCACCAAACCCAGCTAATTTTTTTTTTTTTTGGTATTTTTAGTAGAGGCAGGGTTTCACCATGTTGGCCAGGGTGGTCTTGATCTCCTGAACTCATGATCCGCCCACCTTGGCCTCTCAAAGTGCTGGGATTACAGGCATGAGTCACCGTGCCCAGCTGCTGCCACTACCTCTAGGTTTTTACACATTAAATTCTTTCGAGTTAAGCAGAAAGCTCAGGATCCTCATACTTTTTTATTTTTCAATCTCTTTGTATACAGCTGATTTATCCAAGGTAGAACTGATTTACTGCTTTCTGGTTATATGGGAAGAAGAAAGAAAAAATACAAAACTCCAGATAAATAGCTGGAAAGTCTAAGTTGTAGCTCTTTTACATTTTCTATATATAAAACTGTAGTTTTGGCCAAAGCTGGTACACAAAGTGATTCAAGAAGATGCAGAGCCAGTGAACACCTCTACAGAGGGCTCACCTCTGAACCCTTAAGAGAAAGACTCCAGTGTGTCTAGGGAGAGGCATCAAGTCATGACACTATGACAAATTGAGTCCTACCACTAGTTCTCACTCCTAGCTGATCTCAGGGCAGAGGAAAGTTATTGCTGCTCTGCCAGTACCTTCTCGAGGGTTAGACATGGACACTCTGACCATTTTCACAATAATCACATGAGACACTTTGAAATGATTATGACACTTGCATACACACGATTCAAAACATAGTATTACTATGAATGTGGCATGCTCAGGGTTTTGCCAAAAAGAAGGAAACCCACTGGGAAAGGGGTGGAAGGATATTTCTTTTAACTCTTAAAGCCACTATTTCCAGCCTTGGGTTACACTCAAAGATTGTAAGAGACCAACAGGAAGGGAGAAGGGCCCTTTGACCTCTTAGAAAAATTGTGAGTCAGGACAGAAGAGGGGGAGCTTTGGAAGGGGAAGAGACGGTTGGGAGAATTCTAACACCAGCCTGGCTATACACCTCAACGGTAATCAAACTTCCTACCACTAACACCTTCCGAGTGGAGCCACTGCAGATCACTAGCTCACAAGCTGCTTCAGACATTTTCATTTCCCACTTGACTCCCAGCAAACTAAAGTACTGCTTTGCACACATACAGTGATATAAAGCAGGGGCACACATTTCATTTTATTTTTGACAGTGGAGGTGACAATCCTAAGTGAGTCAATTCAGGGTCTCAGTGAGTAAAGGCTTTCATTGAAACCCCAGAGAGAGGATGGGAACTTTCAAACCTACTCATTTTTGCAGAAAAAGTCACAAAAATAGTGAAAAGACAAGGAAAAGTAACGGCAGGCCAGATTTCACTGACTCAAAAGATGGTATGCCAAGTAGTTGCATATGTATTATTTAATTATTAATAGGCAATAATTATTAGGTAATAGTTACTTTTAATAAGCGATAATTACTAACACTAATTAGTAATAGGTATAGGTAAAAAATATCATTTTAAAAATATTTAGACATGAAAAATGTGCAATGGGTTATAAATCGAAAACTTGAAAATGTCAGACTGTTTCCTTGATCACAAATGCTGACCATGAGGAAGGAAACAGGACCGCATTTGAACAGAAGACAGAGCACCAGAATGGTTAGATCCACTACAAAGATTACTGTATTTTTACATGGATTTAGAGCTAAAAGGAACCCACAAAATCAGCCAAACCAACCACTTCTTTGCTCTGTGAAAAGACTTTGGCCCCAGGTATTCGGCCCAAGTGCCCAGAAGGTTATTCAAAAACCTACAACAGGCAACTACTAACCCTTCTGAATATTCTGTTGATACTTTTTAAACAATAAATAATTTTTAAACCTTTTAAAAACAATTTTGAAATCTAAAGTCTAGGTATTCTTACCATCTTTTTAGTCAATGAACCCTGCATCTATAATCACGTCTAGGTGAACTGATAACTGTTAAATGTTTTAAAGTAAAATTTTTGTTTTTATTTTTGAGACAGGGTCTCACTCTGTCACCCAGGCTAGAGTGCAATGGTGTGATCTTGGCTCATTGCAGCCTGGACCTCCCAGGCTCAAATAATCCTCTTAAAATTTTTTCAAGTGACCCTCATTTTTGGATGCTGGGATTTGGTAAATGAGTTTATGTTAATTGTCACAGTTTTAAGGGTTTATAAAAATTATCACTGTTGTTAATACCAGAGGAAGCTGTAGGTGTCCCCTACTCCATCCATAGGGTAAACTGCTTTTCTATAAGGAGAACAATGCTTTAACTGCCATTACTCCTATGACAATGCAATGATTTAAATGCCCACTAGGTTCATCCAGAAAAATGGAAATTAGATATTAAAATAAACTATGTTGCCTTAGGTTTTAAAGTAATTCATAAAATAAAAAGCCAAAAGCTAAGTGTTAGGAAGTATCTTTTTCCTAATCTGCTTTTTCTTTTAATAGCATCTTAATATCAGGGAATGGACCACTTGCTTAAAGATATATCAATTTGGTTCTTTACTTAATAAACCACTGGGGTTAAACATTCCAACTCAACTATAAACTAAATGACTGGGCTCATAATACAATTAACATATTAATAATTCAATGAAATAATGTATATGCAATTACTTAGCATATAATGAGCACTAAAAGAAATAATGTCCATACGTCATGAGTCGGCTGTTTCTGATAAAAGGTTGCATGTAAGTATTGATCAATTCATGCAAAAATATTAACTATATGTAGTAAAATGATCGCAATTTCTAAATTTCTGCCTCCAACACCAAGCAAATTAAAAAAAAAAAAAACGAACAAGAGAAAACTCCTACCTGATTTGGGCATGCTTTTATAAACGCTCTCATTTTTTTTTTAAGTTCGAGTACTGATCTCTACCATCATTTCACAACAATCTCCAAGAAAACATTGCTATAGAACATGAAACATCTAAAATATATAAAATCTCTTTCAATTACAGTACTTCTAAACAATGCTAATCTCAGTTCTTTGATTACCTGATTTCAGGGGATGAAGAGTTTTCATTTGAGTCTGTCCTTTTATTTCTTGGAAATGATGGACTAGCCGGAGGCATCTCACCACTTAAGCGGTCTGGAAAAATACGGTCTTTATTCAAATTGATTTCTGAGTAGGGACAGTTGGCAGCACTAACAGATTAAAAGACAAGAAAAAAAAAGAACATTGAACACTGCCATTAGGCCATACTTCTTCCAATTAAAATGACAGGCTACAGAATATAAAATTCTAAAATTTAACTGAATGTTATTTTTTATAAGCATACATACAGCATATTGTACATTTAAAACATAAAAAATATATTCAAATAGGAAATAAGTTTTTGCACTAGACTTTAAAAAAGAATCTGCTGCAATCTTTAGAACCGAGCAAGGGTCACAGAAGGACTCCCTCTGTGCCTGTCTCTGGGAACAATCAGCCCCAGGAACGAAATGCTTCAGAAATCATAGGCCAGAGATGGAAGAGAGAGATTGACTGATTGGTTAATGGAGTAGATTTGCTTCTGCTTCCTAAGGGGATCCTTCAGGCCCAGGGCAGTCACATCCTATTTAATTTCCTTTTATAATAGTTACTATCCTCCAAAGGAAGGAGGTTTCTTCATGGGCTGTTCCTGTGTCCAGGTCTGGACCTACGCCTGATGTTCTAGAAAATACATGTATCAATTTGTAGCTAATCTTGTCCCTAATATGAAAAAGGATGAGAGGCCAACTTGGATAATGATGCATTGTGCTCATTTCCCTTCCATTTGTGAACACCAGTGGGTCTCTCAGGTCTCATTTGGTGATCATTCCTGAAAGGAAATTGAGGTCACTCATTGTTAACTCACCATTAGTTAGTATACTCCTGTGCCTAGGGCCTCAGCATTCCAGTCTCCGAAAAAACCAGGCAACTACCTTATCTCAGACCCCAACATACATCGGCCTCTTCTAATAACGGCCTATCTTGCCTCTCTGCTTTTGGGAAGCACTCTTAAATCTGTAAATAGTTTGGGACTTAGGCAAATTACATTAGAATCTTCTCTGTTCTTCCCTTCGTGTAGATGACAAGGAGAATGCTGATAATCACCCAGGGAAAATTTTTAAACAGTGTTTAGCTACCATCCACCAAAAAAAATCTGATACACCCTCCTAGGAAGAGGAAGGAAGGGTTGAAAAGGGCTGCCAGGTGATTCTGATAATGGCCTATAAAATTTATCACAGATAGCTCATACGCGAACATTCTGACTTTATTTTCTTTCAGTACTGCTACTCTACACTGGTAGCTATGCAAAAGAAGAAAGCAAATAATATCTGATCATGTGTTGACATAAATTTATATAATGTAAGCCCAACATCAACAAAAACAAAATACGGTGACATTTATGGAGCACTTATGATATATCAAGCACTGGGCTAAGTGCTTTACAAGCAATAGTTTACTTTATCTTGCCAACGTCCTAGAGAAAGGCATTTCATGCAACAAATTAAAGCTTGTAACGGTTAAGTAGCTTCAGTCTTTATTTTATTAATTTATTAAACAAGCACTTATCATGTATCTATTAGGTGCTGATTACCTTTCCAGGCAATGGAAACTCAACGGACAATAAAGACAAGAAACCAGCTCTCTGGTTTCATGGAGCTGATATACCAGGGGGAGATTGGCAATGCACAATTATGCACATAAATCAGACAACCATAAAAATATGGTGATAAGTTCCATGAAAAAAAAATCCCATGATATAAGAGAGGGTGTGAGAATGCTTTGATGGAGTGGTAAGGAAAGTCCTCCTTCGAGAGGAAGCACCTGAGCAGAGCTGTAATTGTCAGGCAGAAGATCTTTAGGTAAACAATGTGGAGAAGAATGTTCCAGGGGATGGGAGGAGCAGTGCCAGCAGGAAAAGCTTGGCTTGCCTGAGGGAAAGAGAGATCAGGTTGGTTAGAATGTGGTGGGGATGAGATGAACTAGGAGAAACAGGCCGGCAAAAATCACGTAGGGCCTAGCGGGCCAGTCAGACTTTGTATTTTTAGTAAACATTACATCTGAAACTGATGGAAGATCTTCAAATAAGAGAACGACAAGGTTTGATTTGCAATTTTGAAGGATCACTCAGGATGCCTTTTGGAGGGAAGACTTTACAAGCAGAGAAGATTTCAATGGGACATGATTAGAGAAAGAAAAGTTATTTAAGAGTTATTTCTGTCTTTTTGGAGAAGGGATTTTGAAAGCAGAGAAGATTTCGATGGGATGGAACTGAAGAAAGAAAAGTTATTTAAGAGTAAAGATATGACATAACTTGGGTTTGTGTGGTTGAGATAGGGCTAAAATGAAGACGAGAGTCATGGCGTCCTTTGCCATTCTAAGAAGACCTGCAGATGGATGGAATATGGGGAGCAATGGAAAGAATTCAGGAACGGCCATTTTGTTTTTGGCCGAAGAACTGGGTGGTAACAGAGGTGCCCCTTTTTTTTCTGAGATGGAATGACTAGGGAGAAGAAGATTTGGGGGTAATACCAGAAATTGTGGAATTTGCTTTAACACCCAAGCAGAGATGCTATCTGCCCAAGGCCATAGCAATGACGTAGCTCAACAAAATGAACACGCTATTTCATGCACTGCCTTGAGCATGGTCGTATGGTAGTATTTCATTTTATTCATTTAGAAATAAGGTGAAGGAAAATCCATCTCCAACTATGATGTGTCTTTTGAATACTAGCCCTTTATATGTTTCACGAGATCCTAATACGGAGTTCATAGATACAGGTGACCAAACCCAATTCTGCCTAACTTGAGCAGAAAAAACTTACTGGAAGAGCATTGACAGCTCAGTGAGGAAGGCCAGAAAAATCAGGCTTGGTAGAGAGCAGGGTACAAGCAATACAGTCCCTCAAAATGATCTGCACAGGAGGAGGCTGCTGGGCATGTGGCCCTCATGCCACTGCTCTCAGCCCCCCTGCCCTTTCCAGCCCTGATCTAGTTAGTTCTCCGTTCCGTGGAGGCTGCAATCGCAAGGTCTGACCTGCCTTCACCTCATTCCTCAAGATGGAAAGCGCGTATGGCAGCATCTGACTGGTTGGTGTGGGATTCCTGCCCACACCGTAACTAACTGCCAAAGGCCTGAGAAAGAGAAGCCTCGCTCCCTGGTGGCTCCCTAGGAGGACGTGTTAGACCTAACACTCATCTTGACTTCACAGAGAATAAAAATGCTCACTAAACATTTCTACTCAGATGCCTTAGAGTCACCTTATAATAAACATGTTTAAAACCAACTTTATCATCTTTAACAAATCATGTCCCTTGCCTCCCTTCACCCAAAAATGATCAAAAATTTCACTCCCTCAAAAAAAGATAAAAACCACAACTAGCTCCTCCTACTGTTCCTGACACTGCTTCTGACGAGATAAATTTATTAGCCCAACCTCAGGTTTTCACCATCTTTGACTCCACTGTATATTCTTTGTTCCTTACATTGTTTGTTTTTGTTGCAAATTTATCTACTTGAGCTGACAGTAAAAAAAAAAAAAAAAAAATTCAAGGACAATTTTTTTAGTTTCTTTACATAAACAGTATGCAGCTATTCCTAGAGTATCATAACCAGCATTTCACTCATTGTTAAACACCCGGCCTTACAATTATTAAATAACTGTATACACATTAAAATTGAAATTTTACTGGATATGAAGAAAATGACTGGTTCTCTTCTTACTCTCATCCACCTTTAATGAGGGAAAGACTTGCAGGCTTCTTAGATGGGCTGGGTCCTCAATTTAGCACTATAGTTACAGTGTAGACAATTTAGATTCTTAGCCCTAGGAGGGCAGCATCTTCACCTATTTGTTGAATAAATGAAAGACTATCTCTCTAAATCACCAGATGTAAACTTGGATAGCTCAAGAGAGAGGCAAAACTGCCGGCCAGAATGAGACTTACCATATATATATATATTTGGAAAATAGATTGCCAGGACCAGAGAGAAATTTCAATTTCAAACTCTCAACTGAAAGGAGCGAAAAACATTGACAGCCCTCAAAGCAGTGATTTACTAATGTGTAAGTCAAGATGATCTACCGAGGGTAGCCTATCAGCTGTTAACCCCCTCTCTCTGAAACCTGAGTAGAGTCAAGACAGTCAACACATCTCCCATTTTCACACCTACTCTGGGGTAGAGAGGAAAGCTAGCTGGCTTCTGAAGTGGGTGGTGATGACAAAATGGAATGCCACAAAATGCAAAAGGAGCTCAGGTGACAGGACGGGCACGGAGCGGGGCATCAGGGAGCCTGGTTCTGACCCTGCTCTGCTGCTTCCTCCTCCACTCAATAACAAGCAAGCACAGGCTCTGAGATTCTGTTTCATCTGTAAAATTAGATGATAATAACAAAACTGACCAAGGGTTAAGTGCATTACCCAGGCCAAATGCTTACATTACCTATTCAATTCTCACAATCCTAAGAAGCAGTCCCTTTGGGACTTAAAAAGGAAAATTGTTGACTGTCATTCAATTCGTTCCTGACAGAATTACATTGGGAACTGTGGCTGTCTCATAACCACTGTAACATATGGGTGAATAGTACCCTTGCACATTCAAGAATTTCCTTACTCCTAACCCATGACAATGAACTTGATCTGAGAGTACCATTTTCTAGCAAGATGTTGCTGCCTGCTGTCTGTGCTCACAGAGCTAACATGAATTGTGTGCTTACTATGTGTCAGGCGCTGTTCCAAGTATATTACATAAATTAACTCCTTTATCATACTATTCTTATTAAGCAGATACTATTGTCACCAATTTATTTTATGAGGACAATGGCACAGAAAAGTTAAGTATTGGCTCAAGGTCATAGAGCTTTGTAGAATAATCTTACCTGACGGCTTTAAAAACAAAAGCCAATCTATAGAACATGGGTCAAGTATTTCACTATTTCATCTACTCCCATCAACTAGCCCTTGGAATAAGAGTCAAATTCACCAGTAATTATGTTTTTGAAGATTGGAACCACTCCTATGTCACTTCAAAGAATACAAGGAACAGATAAGCAACATATGTGATCTGCATCATGTTAGAAATGTTGCTTTTCCTGTTCCATATTTCTGTTATGTATAGATACAAAATTATTAACTTCTAAAACTGCATATGAACTTTAAAAAACTCACCAGTGCTAATTAAACATCTATGGAAAGAGTTGGTTCTCACTAGGCTTATACATTTCTAATTTCTCACGTACTAAGTTTCCAGTGAAAAAACTTTAATAAGGTGTGGCTTACCACATAAAGTGTGTATTCTGTCATGGTTATACATGTGCACACATCTATGTACAACTCTTTACTGCTGTGCAACTCTTCAGGAAGCAGAAGGATAGACTCCCACAGGATGACAGTTTTCTCCACTATAAGCACTTTATTGGGGGGCATCCTATACTATTAGCAAATTATTTCATGTATCAGTTAAATATACAAATACTTGCCCCACTGGCTCCTCTAAGGAGACTGCTTTTTCTAGGGAAGACCAGTCAGTTCATTAGGAGTGGTAGAAGGGCTGCCTTACTCACTGCTCTCCAATGCCATCTTAAAACCCCTTTTAATTGTAAGTATATATTTTTAACAATTAGGCAACATTTCCAGATTTCTAAGTGCTTGCACAATCATTTTCACACTCTGTCCAGACAAAAAAACAGTTAAAAAAAAATAAAAAAGGAGGTGGGCTCCATCACGCCACTGTTCACTGCATGAACACCCGGCAGTGAAGAGCAGAGACGTAAGTGCCTTATGGGCCTGGGTGCAATCCTGGTTCCGCCAGTGTCCAACCTTAGCTGCTTACTTAAGCATTTTCAATCTCTGTCTCCTTGTCTGTAAAACAAGAAGTAGAAAACTGCCTAACGTTCACAGGATTCCTGTGGGGACCAAATGAGATCACACATGCGAGTCCTCGAAGCAGTGCCTGGAACATAGGAAGTCATCAATACATCATACCAATTACTATTATTAAAAAAGAAGAGTGACTTCTTTTTTTTTTTGAGACGGAGTTTCGCTCTTGTTACCCAGGCTGGAGTGCAATGGTGCAATCTTGGCTCACCGCAACCTCCGCCTCCTGGGTTCAGGCAATTCTCCTGCCTCAGCCTCCTGAGTAGCTGGGATTAGAGGCACGCGCCACCATGCCCAGCTAATTTTTTGTATTTTTAGTAGAAACGGGGCTTCACCATGTTGACCAGGATGGTCTCGATCTCCTGACCTCGTGATCCACCCGCCTCAGCCTCCCAAAGTGCTGGGATTACAGGCTTGAACCACCGCGCCCGGCAAGAAGAGTGACTTCTAACTCTTGTGTAAAATAACATCAGCAAAAATTAAACAATAAGAACACCATAACGCACCTCACTATGAATGCTCTGCTTCCCTCATAAAAAGCTGATGTTGCTCTCTGAGCACTGCTCCACTCTGCCTCTATGAGGATCTGTTTAAACCAGATTGGCCTCTTTAGAAAGAGGGAACCTCTCCTCTAGATAGCCCTCACCTAACCCAGCAGGTGACACAAAGAAGGCACTTTACAAAGGTTTGTTCATGGCTAGATGCATACTGAATTAACATGATGTTTCCAGCTTGCAGGAGCAGATAAGAGTTACTACTGTTTAAAACATTCCATGGATTTCATTAATACCCTTTAGATGCTGCTGGAAACATTCTTTTCTCTTTTCTTGTTTAATTTCCCCAATACTAAGTCCAATAGAAAAGATTCAGTTCTGAAGGCACTCGATATGCAGAATGGCTACTTATATATAACTTTGTTTCTTTTAAGCTCTTCCCATTCCTTGCCCTCTCTCGGTAGGCCAACTAAATGAAGTGACAAAGGGAAACACCGTGACACAACCAATATTAATGTTCCCTCGCTAGAGAGTTGCAATTGGGCGAAAATCTGGGTCCTGTATATCCCTAAAGATGAGAAAATCACACCCACATCTAGCTCTTTCACTAATCATTTATATTTCATCATTTTAAAAACTAATTATCAAGCTTCATTGTTTAGACACATGTTCTTTTTTAATACTTTTTAGATCAAATTCAAATACTGAAATCTTCAGAGAAGGTAACAACAAATGCTAGTCAAAACAAAGTCTCTTGCTTATGTGTTCATTAAATTGATTACTTTTGCTAAAAGAGCAACTTTCTTTGTTATCTATGCAAAGAGTACATGTTTTTATATATGCAGTTTCTCAGTAAATTCATCCAAAGAGAATTTTCTCATTATGTTTTCCTAAACATAGCACTCTTACTCAGAACAAAAATAAGAGCCAGTGAAATGAACCTTTCAAAGACTATCCATGATGCGGCAAGCTACTCCGCAAGTCTACTAATGAAATGGAAAACAGGCTGTGACTATTAAGGATTAATATCGTGCCAGAAAAAGACCTTTGAGTGCTGTAAATAGGACAGCATAGTCAGGGAGTCTAAGAAAACCCAGTTCTAAGGCTGAGGAGAAGGGAAGTTAGCCCTTGGGCAGAAGCTGGGACCTCCCGGAGTTCTGTGAATTACAACCCTTTGTCCACAGGCTCAAGTCAACTAACTCTGCCCAAGGCACAAAATCTGCTTGTTATGCTCTCTATATGTGACAAGAAAATGAATACCGGTTCTTTATCAATGCTGGTCCTTTAAGCCACCAGGTGAGCTGCTACCTCTCATTCCAAGAAAATGAGTTATCCTCTATTATGACTCTCATTCCACTGGGAAAGGTTCCTCACCAGGTTTCTCTATAAACTCTTCCTCTAATCCTCGTACAAGCACAATACTCCATCTATGAAGAAATGCTCTAAATAGAACCACTGAAACTTGGTGAAACGGGTGTGGCTCAGCTGACGAACCCTTGGAGGTCCACCTGCACGCTTTGCGACAGGCAGTCCTGATGAATGGCTGGGCCATCAGGGAGGGGTCACAAGTGTTACCACAGACCTTGCTGTGAAAGGGAAACCTCTCCACTCAAACCTAATGGACTCCGAAAGAGACCATGGGCATGGCTGGAAGCTATGTCTTCCTTCCAGAAGACCACAGAAAGTTTTCTTTAATCTTCAACTGCACCTCAACAACATACTGTTAGTATTTACTCATTTCTTTAACTTTCTTTGTTCTTTTTCTCCACAACTTGAGCAAATTATCTTTGCTCCAATGAATATTCTGTATAGCAGAAAAGAATGTGTGCCAAAGTTCTGGTGTTATTTTGTATCTTATATTTTAATTAAATTACATACAGCTTTTATAGCTCCATCAGCCTGCGAATGCTTTGAAGGTTGGGTCTGGGACTAATTTATGGAGTAGCGTCTTGAGAGGCCCTTAGAGGAGAGTGGTCCAGAGCACAGACCCTTCAGCAACACTGGGCTCCCTTCTCCCCAGCTGTGAATTAAGGCTGGATACTAACCTCCCCAGCACCCCGGTGGCCTCACCAAAACAAAGGGGAAAAAACCAGTCCTTATCTCATAGGGCTGTTATGAAAGGTATCCAAGATCGGTAAAGCAATTAGGGCAATATTCTGCACAGAGTAAATAAATCCTCAATAAATCTTAGTTCTCATTGAAAATATGCTGCTCTAAAATGTTTACTGAATGAGTTTCTAAACACAGTGCTGCAGTTTGCACATCCCCTCCAAAACTCATGTTGCACTTGCCACTGTGACAATCCTGAGGTGATTGGGCTCCCCCCTTCTGGATGGATTAATGACATTATCACAGAAGTGGGTTCGTTATCATGGGAGCGTCCGTTATAAAAGCAGGTTTGGCCCTCTCTGGCTCTCTCATGCGTGCTCTCTTGCCGCCCTCCACCTTCTGCAGCAAGAAAGCCCCTGTCAGATGCTGGCCCCTGGATCTCAGACTTCCCAGCCTCCAGAAAGCGAGAAATACATTTTTCTTTACAAATTACCCAGTCTGTGGTATCTGCTACAGCAACACAAAACAACTAAAACAATAATGAAAATTTAGCATGTTCATGAATTAGTTATGGCATCTAGACTTAGATAATGGGTGAAAATCCAGCTGCCTTCACTAGGCAATATTTAATAACTTCTAAGATGTATCATACAACTTTTGGTTTGCAGTCATACAAGCAATAAAAAAGATTTGCAAATGGAATCATCATCCTGTCTATGCTCAGACTTCTCACTCTGCAACATACTGAACCTCATAAAACAATAAGGAGGGTTGTTGAAAAAGGAAAATAAGAAGGATTTAAGGTTGCAGAGATGAAAAAAAGAGAAAACTATATCCAGATGAAAATAACTATACCAATTTTGCAATACCTATTAACTCTTGGAGGAATAGGTAGAGTAATCTTCAAAATTTTTGAAGACCTAGATTCACAACCTGTACAAACTAGATAAAGAATCATTTTTCTTACTGGGCAATGTAGTTAGAACATTATACTGACAAATTATTTTAAAATATATCTTAAAAATGCAAGTTGAATCACAAGAATTTCTTAGTATTTCATTTTTTTTTTTTAAGACACAGGATCTTGCTATGTTGTCCATGCTAATCTCAAATCCTGGACTCAAGTAATCCTCCCACCTTAGCTTCCCAAGTAGCTGCACTTCAGCAAATATTTTTAACTCTCCACAAAGATTCCCAAATCACCAAATACATCGCATTTCAAATGTATAAATTTGGTTTCTTTTTAAAGTTACTTAGGGGTAAGAGAAAAATATTTAAAAATGTTTTTCGGGCCAATGCACTCTTATGTTTGACTATTTCTGTTGTGCCTTTTGTGATCTTTGCTGCTGATCTACAATAAGCTCATCTCTCATTATTCAAATCACCCAATCAGATAATATTCTACCAAATGATATCAACAGTTTCCCTTTTCTCATTATTAATGATCAAAGCAAAATAACTACTGTAGAAACTAAGTATCTGTAAAACTAGTCAAGTTGCCAAGAAAAGCCAAAAAGCTAGAGTAAAACAATTTTAAACCGTGAATGCATTTTCTCCCAGGAAGATTTTACTATAGATATTCCCTTCATTTTTACATAGTCACCATGGCAACCACATTTCTATGGATCTGAATTTAAAATTAGTTCACATCAATTTGGTATACATGAAATTCATTATGTATACATGTATACGGAACAAGTACCCTTTATCTGACCATGTAAGAAATCCTGATGTGAGAGACAGCTACCTGTGAGGGCCCAGATGTCTCGCTCTCTTAAAATGGCCAATCCCTTTACATCCAGGGGTTGAGCAGCCACCGTGTTCTGAAGCTTCCATTAATTCCAAGGGGCCTATGAAAGAGAGAAAAAAAAAAAAGGAAAGAAAGAATGAAAGGGCAAAATATTAAACAAAAATCTGTTAACAGTCAAACGTCTGCGATCAGAATAAGGAATAAAAAGACTCCCTAAAAATCCAATTTTTGAACAAACATATAAACAGAAAAAGTGGATCCTATAAAAATAAAAAATATTTTAAAAGACACTACGTTTAAAGGGTTTTCCTTATGACTGTTCAAGGTATTTATCCTTCTTCAACAACAAAATGGTCAACTTTGATCTAACAAAAATGTCATAAAATTCTAGAATTATCTAAATATGAATTAAAAGAAGAGTCAAATGACTTTTATTAAGTAAAAAACATAATTAAAGCATGAATACTCACATACCGTGGAATACTCCAAGTGCCATAGAAGAATCCAGAATGACAGTTCCAGATCCTTCAATGCTCTTCCTTCTACATTGCAGACCCTCCCTCATTTTGACCACTGAGGTTAGTGTGGGCTCTCCTGGAAATTGTTCTAAGCATTCAGACACATTCGCTTTTGTTTGATTTTGCCACATAAATGGCACAACATAGATGTTTGATTTTGCCACATAAAGGCACAATATTCTTCTTTGGGTTTTAACTTCTTGTCTTACAAATTTTTCTGTTGCAATCTTAATATTCTTTATGACTACTGCATAGTATCTACAGCATAGTGCACCACAATTTATTTAACCAATATTTTTTCCCAAGCTTTGTTATTCTAAACATGCTGCACTGAATACCATGTACATGTGTCCTTAAGCATGTAGTATGCAGAAGTGAAGTCACTAGATACAGGAAGTACACTAATTTTTTTTTTAAACTTGATAATAATTTATTGTATTTCCTACATATTTTTGTATATATTTTTGAAATATATACAATGTACATATTTTCCTTCAAAATTAAGGTGGTGGTATGTTAAGTTCTCGATGTACCTTTTCTAAAATTTGAATTTACCTGAGATTTTTGTTAAGATAATTATAGATTCACAAGCAGTTGTAAATAATAATATGGAAGGAGATCTCTTTCATACTTTGCCCAGTTTCTCCCAGTGTTAACATTTTGCAAAGCTATTGTATAAAATTACTATTAGGTTACTAATATTGAAACAATACATTTTGAAAGTCTAACAAACTGTCTTCCAAAAATTCAAGACAAATTTTCAGAGGTGCTATTTACTTCTAAATAAAACAGAATGTCTATACACGCTTTACTTCTTCAGGCATTACATTGTTTTCATTTCGATTTCTGTCACTACGGTAATTAAAATGTATTAAGAGGAAAGGATTACATAGAGAAGAAACATCACTAGAGAGAGGAGGAGAAAGAGAAGGGCTAAGGAAGAAATATTAAGAATGCTACATAAGGAAATGGAAACATTTATACAAGTTATTTGTGTCTCTTACTCAAAGGAGGCTGAAGGGGATGTCCTGTTTTTGAACACCAGCCTACAGGATGAATATCAGGAGAATCTGCATCTATCCAGTAATCAAAGCAATTGTTCCAGCCATCAAAGTGAACCTGGATGACAAAAGGACATTTAACAGTACAAATTAAGTCACAAAAGTTCCTACAAAGTTCTGCCCACAGCATAACCATTTTCATCCTAACACATACAGCAGATTTAAAACCCAGTAAGTCAGTTCAATTATTCAAAATACTTCACTCATAATGTGAGAAAAAAGACACCTTTGAACCACCTTCAATGTATTATAGAACCAGTCATAAATGCACTGCCAAAGGCACTTTTTGGGTTATAGTTTTACAGACATATTAAGCATATTTCTCAACACCATGAGCAGCCTGAGAACAGGGACTGTGTTATAACATCTTCGTATGATCAACATCAAGCACCCAATAAATACTGCAGAAGGAATGAAAAATTCAGGGAAGGAAGGGAGGGAAGATGACAGGGGAAAGTAAAGAAGACGGAGCGGAAAAGAGGACCTTTCAAGTCAATGTCAAGCCTTCGGGAATTGGGTCGAAAAAGACTTTTTAAAAAAATTCAATGCCCACTAGACACACATTCAATTTATGAAATATCCCTCCACCCAGTGTGTTTTTAGGTATCATTTTTTTCTTGCAAATAATTACGTTATTTCTCAAATATGTGTTCTATTATTGTTTTATTTTTAATGATTAAGGGTACGTATTTATGAAGTACATGTGACATTTTGGATATAGGCATACAATGTATAATGATCAATTAGGGTAACTGGGGTATCCATCACCTCAAGCTTTGATCATTTCTTTGTTTGATGAATATTCCAGTTCTACTATTTATTTTAAAATATATTGATATATTACTGTTAACTATAGTCACCCTCATGTGTGAACAGACACTAGATCTTACTCATTCTACCTACCTGTATTTTTGTGCCTGTTAACCACCCACACTTTATCCCCTACTCCCTGCCACTTCCTAGTCTCTGGCAACCCTTATTGTACTCTCTTGTCTTCACGAGTTCAGTCTTTTTTTTTTTTTTTTTGAGACAGAGTCTCGCTCTGTCCCCAGGCTGGTGTGCAGTGGCGTGATCTCGGCTCACTACAACCTCTGCCTCCCAGTTTTAAGCAATTCTCCTGCTGCAGCCTCCCAAGTAGCTGGGACTACAGGTGTGTGCCATCATGCCCAGCTTATTTTTGTATTTTTTTAGTAGACACAGGGTTTCACCTTGTTGGCTAGGATGGTCTCGATCTCTTCACATCATGATTTGCCTGCCTTGGTCTCCCAAAGTGCCAGGATTACAGGCATGAGCCACTGTGCCAGGCTGAATTCAATCTTTTTTTAAGGACCCATATATGAGTAAGAACACATAATATTTGTCTTTCTGTGCTTGGCTTATTTCACTTAACATAAAGTCCTCCAGTTCCATCCATGTTCTTGAAAATGACAGTATTTCATTCTTTTTTATGGCTGAATTGTGCATATATACCATATTTTCCCATTGTGTATATATACCATATTTTCCCATTGTGTATATATACCATATTTTCTTTATCCATTTATCCAACTGTTGAATACTTAGGTTCCTTTTGTATCTTACCTAGTGTGAAAAGTTTCGTCTTATTATAAAGCAGTCACTGCTACCATCTCTATTGCCACCATGTACAAGGGCACTTGGTCTTCTAGTGACAATCACTAGGAACTGATTATGTTTCTTTTAGGTTATTACACATTTCTTTTTACCTTACAGGACGAAGGGATATACTTAAATGCTTTACATTATTTTATTTTTAAATCAAGTTTGTCAGTTATATCAACTGATCACAGGTATTAAAAAAAAAGTTTGCCAGTTAGATTTCTTTTTTAAAGTCTATGAACCTCTCCCTCCTTACAAGACAAGAGATGCCAGATGGATAAAACACTTAAACACTAAGAACTGAACAATAAACATTCAAGAAGAATGTGTGAATGGACTTATTTGTAATCACAGAGTGGGTCAGCCTTTGTAAGCAAGACACCAAACAGTAAAAGACTGATCAATTTGATTACATGAAAATTTAAAGCTTCAGAATGGCAAGTATTACAAAGTAAAATGGAAGACCCACAAGAAACTCCCAAAAATACAATAGCTACACCTGTGGCAAGAACTCTCCAATTCATAAAAATGTAATGTGTCAGCACAAAAAGATGAAAAATCCAACAGAAAGGTGAAAAATGGATACAAATAGCTCATTATCCAAAATATAAATATAAATGTTTAGTAAACATATAAAAAGACAATATATTTGCGGCCAGGCTCAGTGACTCATGCCTGTAATCACAGCATTATGGGAGGCTGAGGATCGCTTGAGCCCAGGAGCTCAAGATCAGTCTGGGCAACATGGCAAACCCCATCTATACAAAAAAATAAAAATAAAAAAATTAGCTAAATATAGTCCCAGCTACTCAGTAGGCTGAGGTGGGAGGATCATCTGAGCCTGGGAGGTTGAGGCTGCAGTGAGCCAAGACCATGCCACTGCACTCCAGCCTAGGCAACAGGGTGAAACCCTGTCTCAAAATAAAAAGACAATGGCTTTCACTTACAATTTTAAAACTACAAATTTAAATTAGAAGATATAATTCTTCTCCTATTGGCCTGTCAAAAATGTTCATATTTTCATAATTCCTACAGCTGGTTAAGAATGAGAATAAATGGGTATGGTCATAAACCACTGACAGAAGTGTTAACTGCTGAGATATTTCTGGAAAGCTATTTGGCAGTAACAGACTTGATAATCTCAATAAGTCATTGTCGTTATTAGAAAACAACTAGAAGTTACCACAGTGTCCACCACCAGGACACTGGTAAATAAACTGTGGTACATTCATATGATGAAATATAATGTAGTTAGTAAAAGTACATATATATGGGCTTAAAATAATGTCCTTTGCAATGAATCTACTTTCTTAAGCTTAGAAATAAATTAATCCTAGATTCGAAACCCCACAGAAGATATGAAAAGGCATCTGTCGGCAAGGTGAGAATATCTCAAGAAAAACAAAGTATGTGATCCAGGAAAATGAAATACAACCTAGTCCATCAGCAAGGAGAAGTGTTAGGATGAAAGCTCTGTACCAGGATTAGAGTATTTCCACCCACAGTGGAATAGGTGGCTGCTGAGTATGAGAAAGAATTCAAGAAAAAAAAAAGATACAGATAGAATACTGAAAAATACACTTGAGCTTTTGACTCAAAGCTATGTCAGATCTATTGGCGCACTTGCAACAATCTAAGAAGACAGAAAAATATATGAACAAATTATGAACAAAAATATATGAACAAACTAAGAACAAATTATGAACAAAAATATATGAACCAACTATGAACAAATTACTGACTCCCAGAAAAATAGTCACAAGGAAAAGACTACTTTGTTCAACAGTCAATAAGAACCAAACAATGTAAAATAACTACTGAAAAAATAAGGGGAAAGGAAGAATGGTAAGACCTAAATCTTGAATTACCACAACATGAAGAAAATAAACCATATCTAAAACAGATGAACTGAGACAGAGCAAAATATAAGTAGTATTTTAGAAAATTACAGATAAAATGTCCTAAGCAAGAACTAAAGGAGCCTACAGTTTTTGCCTCTAGGGAGCCAGACTAGGTATTGGGAAGGAATGAGGCAGGAATAATCTGTTACTAAAAACACAAATGAGAGCAAAACCATTCTGGCCATTTTTCTTCAATGGCATCTGATCAAATATAGAACAATTTTAAATGTTTTACTATAATAGCTCAAGGTGTAAAATATGTAATCTTAAAAGTTGATTTTACACAAAAGTTGATTTTATCCCTCAAAAACTTAAAATATTAAGCTACACTAATAACTTGGTCTACACTTTCCTCTTCTTCCTTCTTGAAAAAGATGAGCCTTCCTGCTGTCTTATCTCCCATTTATTAAACTCCTACGGTTGCAAGCTTTTTATATTCTCAGAAGCCTCTGATGAATTCTGAAGCTTAGTCACTGTCTCCTGTATATGGGCCTTTTGAAGACTTCATAAATACAAAGCTATTTGTTCTGTGGTTCATCTTCAGCTGTGAAATTCATTCCAGTAATTACCAAAATACTGTCAACTGTACCCCTCACAAGCAGCTATTTCTGGGGTGTTAAGGACTGAGCAGGACGCTGTATTAGAGAATCCGGCTTGAAGCAGAGGTGGATTCCAGTCTATACTTTTCCCGCTAACTAACTGGACCACCCACTTTAGCATATTTGACCTCTCCAGGACAAACATTTCTCACGTGTAAAATAAGAAAGTTTATCTGTATTTTTAATTATAAAAGTAATATATACTCCTGAAACTAAACAATTAAAATGTAAAACCTAATCATTTATAGTTTCGGCACCCTGAAGGAAGCCCTGTCATTACTTTGGTATGATTCTTTCCAGAGTTGTTTATGTATGTATTCTTGTAAAAAAAAAACAACAACAGATATCGTACATAGTGTAAACCTGAACCTTTCACTTGCTGATATTAAACAGTCTTCTAAAATATTTAATTTTAACATCATGTAGATACAGAGTAATGTGTTTTACCCATCAGCTACTGCGGCTGCTTCCAATGTTAAGTACTATAAACAGCACTGATATATTTTCCTTGGAGTTTTTATTTTTGCATATTCCTTTTGGCTATTCCCTTAACATTCTTAAATGAAAGGATAAACAACAGTCTATGATTTTGTTAACCTATTGCCAAACTGCTCTTTGGAAAGGCTGAGACATTTTTATATTCCCACCAGCCATATGTGATAATTAAATTTTCATCCACTCAAATCAGTTTTTTTTTTTCAATTCTGAGTAATCTGATTTATAAAAGCCATACTGTACTTAATTGTAAATTTCTTTGAATACTAGTATAGATTTTATTTTTGAAAATACTTCTAGCTCTAAAATACTGACTGCTTTATAACTTACATTACTATAAGTGTATAAATAAGATAATACACTTGAAACAATAATTAGCACAGGCCTTGTATTTATAACATTTTCTAAAACCCTATATGATTCTACAACCTTAACAATAGTAAATTAAATGTTAAAATTTCCATTCTGTAGAAATGCCACCATTTCTGTAGTTTTTCAGGTTATTTTATAATTTATTTTCTTGTACACTATCTTATTAGAGAGAGCTGAGAACGTAATTTTTTTTAAAAGAGCTTAAGTTTAGACTCCTACAGCTTAGAACGAAGAGGTCATTCTGCCACTGCCGGTCATTAATAATTCATTCAATCTTTCTGAGCCTCTGCCTCATCAATAAAAGTCGTAACAACATATACTTCCCACAAATGTTAAATAACATGAGAACAGGGTTACCCTGTAAAACATCATGTACATTTAATGTCATGCTGTTATAACTATGATTATTCCTAATAGAAATTCCAAACAATTGTATGAAGTAGATAGAATGGGCATTGTTCTGGTGTGAGGGTGAAGTTAATGCTGAAGTCAGAAACAGAGACGGGGTCTTTCAGCTCCTTTCCTGAACTGTCCTTCACGATCACAGCTGGACATAACCAAGTGATTCCATCTCCCTAAACTTTTGCTTACTTTGTAAGAGGCATTTGGCTTTTATTAATCTAACTCATTAAAATCTGATTTTATTCATGAAATTATCTAGTTTTACTTGGCCTATATTAAGAGACAGGAGGTTCTTCTGAAAAGACTACTTCTAATCCACCCCACAAAAACATTAATCTTTAATTTTTTTAAAAAAAGGGCACACTATCAGAGATGAAGTATTATATTTTCTTGTGAATATATTACTTTAATGTGTTGTATCTACTTTCTTTTTCCCAATACATACTCAAAATATTAAGTCATTCATAATTAAAGATAAATTGTTTTATGCAGATTAAAGGGCAAACCTGGATGAATGCTACACACTAAGATGCACAGCCAATTATTTTGCACATTCCTATGATTTTACTAATTACAGGACTTCACAAGTTAAGTATCTACCAAAGTTTTTATCCAAAGCGTCTTACAACAAAGACAAAGCCAGCCACCACCACACAACACTTACTTTTATCCGGTGATCATCTGTGTCTGCCACTGTTGCTACTCTAATAAACACGGGGTTCCTTTTGTCTACAACCTCAAGCTTCATTTTTTTCTGGAATCCATGTGGAGGTTTCTGCCACAAAAAAACATTTTACAGGGTGAGACATAGAGGAAGAGACGGTAAACTTGATGTTTTATTTTATTGCTATAAAATAGCATCTCAGCTTGCCATAAACAAATCCAAATAAATTATCAAATGTAGTTTTTATTGGAAAACATTTTCATGTTCTGTTTCTGGTCTTTTAGAATATCTAGCTAAAAAGACAGAAGCCTGCTGTAAGATTTCAACAGTTCGCCCCACATGGTATCAAGTAGAATTATTTTCCAAGGAGACTTTAAAGTCCAAAATCAAAGCATTTTTTTAGATGCCAACAACAAAAATCCCGATAACAATTTTGACTTTAAAAATTGTAAAAATTCAAAAACATCTTATTTTGTGCTTTATTTTTTTCTCATTTCTATTCTGGTTTACTAAGACCATCATGTTCTGTTCTTAAATTTCGATAAATGATCTCATCCATACAAATTAATCAAATAGTATAAAATGTATGGCCTCACCACTTTGAAAGCTCTTGCAGGGGCAGGCAAAGAATTGGTTTCTTCTAAGTATTTATCCCAAGAAAAATGTTTCACATTTGGATAACCTAAGAAAGAAAAATGTAATCCTATGAGGTTTAACCAAAATGACAGCAAAAATAACAAACTGTCCAACGAAAACTATAAAATATTATAATCTAGAAAATTATGTGCATATATACATAACATTAAACTACTCACACATTCAGAGCCATGTGTAATAATTAAATTGTTTTCATCTTGATCATGATTTTTCTATTACTTTTAAAATGAAAATTTTATGTGTATATATATATATATATAATATATTTTCAGATAAGACAAGACAGACACAGCAATTTTATTTCTATGAATCTAGAAAAATTTCACATATGTAACAAAGGCAACAAATGATTGTAAATGTGAAAACTAAGTTAAATGGCCTTCAATATACAAATGGGCAAAAAAATGTACATAAGTAGAAAGTGCTTATTAAAAAGAACATGGTAAATTTGTATATAGTAGTATGTGAACGATTCCAGATATAACTTCATATTGTTAGTTCCGAGAAACATGCACAAAAGATGGAACATTATTAACAGAATGTGTAAAAATACCTCCTCCTTCCTCCCGCCCTCTTTTGTTCCCTCCAGGGCCCCAAATCCATTAGGTAGGCATGAGCAGGAATAAACAGTGGCCAGTATGGTGGGAAACTTGCCACATAAAGGGGTCTTAGAAAAGCAGCAAATATATTGGAGATAATGTTAGCCAGGTTTGAGGGAAACTGGAATGAAGCTGATGTGTTGTATTTTAATTGGAACCTACTGGTATAAATTCACACTTTTCAATGTATGTATCAACAGATGTAGAGATAGACATAAACAGAAATTTTTGTATATATTTATAACAGATGTATTCCCTAGCCACATCAGTTGAAACACCTGGAAACATCAATACTCTTGTAGTAAATAAGCACACTTAGTGCTCAGATCTTAGTTTCTAAATATCATTCTCTACTAAAAAGAAGCATGGAACCTTGAAGAAATGGGTGGTTCTAGCGTTGGGTCAGGGAAAGCATGAGATAAGTCTAGCTATGCCAGAAAATAAGAAATCCTCAAAAAATGAGAAGAAATTTCAAAAGGACATTGGAATGTGCCTAAAAGGGCTCTAACTGGTTAATATCTGAGAAAATCTGATATGAAAATAAATAATGCTAGCAATCGATTATAATTCACTGATAAAATAGTAATCTATGGGTCTACACTGATATAAATAAATTGAAAAAAGTAGAAAGATAAGAAAAGCTATTCTTTGCAGGAAAATATCAACTCATTTTGCATAAGGAACGATGGAGTAAGAAAGATTACAGTTTAGCACTGCCAGAATAATATAATTCATCCTTGAAACCTCAACAGATGCTAAGAACAACAAATGACGTTGGGATGAGATACACAGTCTCAAAGTATCGCCACAAAATACTTATTAGTTACAGAGAAAAAATAACTCCATTAGGAGACAAGCCTAGCAAACACCATCATGATCCAATAGTGGTAAATGCGAACCAGTAAAGAGACAGACTGACGTCATGAGCCACCTGAGAGAAGACAGTAAGAACACAGCGCTGGGTCTATGGCATTCCTGCCAAAAATGCAGAGCCTCGGTATGATCATGAGGAAATACCAATCCTTCTCAGATTAAGTAACATTCTACAAAATGACAGAGCTGTAATCCTCAAACATATTAAGGTCATAAAAATCAAGGAGATACTAATCAATAGAAGCTGGAGGGATCTGACAACTGAGATCTTTTTGCTAGGAATGACATCACTAGAACAACTGGAAAACTTGACTGGGTCTCTGGGTCAGGGGTATGAGTTCTGCACTGTTCTTGCAACCTTTCTGTACATTTGAAATGATTTCAAAGTAAAATAGTTAAAGAGTAAAAACGCAAACATAGTTCTGTGCATACATTTTATGACATTTTTAAGAAACATATCTTGCACAGTTTAAATATTTAAATCAGAACATTCAACTAAATGAAACTGAGATGCATGAATGCAAGTGTGTGATTTCACATAGGCAAAAAGGCTTTCCTGGAAACACATAAGGACAAACCATTAAAATATGAATAGAGGTAACTGCAGTCCACTCTAAACTTAAAAACAAGCATGTATTAATGTATAATTGGGTAATTTGAAATAAAAATAATTGTAAAAGGCATGAAGATTTTAATTTCTGAAAAGAATAATAAAGAGAGGCTATGTGTTTAGAAAGAACAGAAGTGTGGCGGTGGCCTACAGGGCAGGTCAGTGGATGGAAAAATCTGTGAAGTACCAGGGGGTGATGGAAGCAGCTGTCTAGGAAGCCCAGTGATTAGGATCCTTCTTTTCTGACAGATCAGAGATGGGCCAGGCATTTGCCCTTAGAGAAGAGGGATCAGAGAAAGAGTATCTTTTTTGTCATGGGGCAAAGAGTAGCAACAGCACATGCCCAATAAACCAGTTTCACAATCTGACAGTTTTGTTTGTTCATTTTTGCATTTTCTAACAGTGGTAAAATATACGTAACATAAAATTTACCATTTTTACTATTTTAATGGCATTATGTATATTCACACTGTCGTGCATTTGGTATTTCACATGCAATTCTGTATTTTAAAAATGTGTATTTGGTATTTTCACATGCAATTTTTGTATTTAAAAAAATAGTTTTTAAAAGAAAGGTATTCTTTTCTCTTCAACTGAATTATAAAAGTCCAGGAAAAGGAATAGATGGCTTGGTTCTTTGCCTTAGTACGAAGTCAGTATTAACGCCTTACACCACTCCTTCCAGGGTACGTAACCAGGAACCCATGGTTGTTCACTGGTACACTGTTAGTTAATCAGATCTCTGATCATGACCAAAAATGGTGGTATAGAAAGAAAGATTGATAACAAACTGGGAAATCTAAAAGGATCCTCACAGTATTTTAGATGATGATAGTGGCAAAGAAGCAATCACTGGCCACTAATATTTTGTAAGCTGTAAGACAGACAAAGGAGGGCTGAACATGAGAAATCTTCCAGACAGCACTACATTTGGGGTCATGAAATCATTAATACCTTTCTTTCTTTTTTTCTTCCTTGAAACAGTGTTTTGCTCTGTTGCCCAGATTGGAGAGCAGTGGCATAATTATAGCTCATTGCAGCCTCGAACTACGGGGCTCAAGCAATCCTCCTGCCTCAGTCTCACAAAAAGCAGGCATGGGACTACAGGTGCATGCCATCTCATCTGACTGACTTTTAAAATTTTTTATGAGACAGGGTCTCACTATGTTACCCAGGCTGGTCTTGAACTCCTGGGCTCAAGTGATCCGCCCGCCTCAGCCTCCCAAAGTGCTGGGATTACAGGCATGAGCCAGAGGTGCCTGGCCAATACTTTGTTTTAACCCTTCATTATGTCAGTGCTATTTCACCTTCAAAACAATACTGTAAATTAGTCAAGACAAAGGGTTGCCATCCTTTAATATATGAGAAAACTCAGGGAGTAGATGGGACTTGTCATTATAGGAATGACTGGTCTCCGAGTGAGTAAATGATCAGACACTCTAACTGACACACTGATCAAGCCATGGGTGCAAACTTAAAAATGAAACCAGCTGTACAAATAGAATAGAATTTGAAGCTTCCCAATTTTGTTGCTTACATGCTGCAGGCTACATTCACAAAACAGCTCTTAGTAAACCCAGGGCTCATCCTCTCTCTGTGATAAAGGCAGTCTTCATTACTCCTGTAAGTGTCCACTGAGCAATCACCTACTGTGCAGGGATGCTTTCTGTTTGATGACCCTGTCTTTCCATAGCAGCAGTGGCCATGGCACCTTAGGCAGTGATGTACTCAGAAATACACTGTCTTGAGATTATGAAGAAGCCACACAATCTGTTCTTTAGCACATAAAAGAAACTGAAAATGATATAACACAAGGATACTATTTATCAGCAGTTATACTGTTCCCTGTTAAACAGAGAGCAAAGGAGCTGAGAAGGCTCTATGGCCAGAGGCAGACAGCAGAAGCACCTGAAAACTTCAGAGAACACAGAGGCACCACTAGCATGAAGGTGCAAAATCTATTCCGGAACCAGGAATCACAATGGGAAAAGGAAAACTGAGCGTATGAGTTCTAAACTAAGTACAAAAATCTAAAGCCTCGATTTCTCACTTAAATGTGAACACCGTGCCCTGTGAGGATTGAGGCTGACATGAAGTCTGCTCTCCAATCCACAAATGCTGTCCCTCTTATCCGTTTTTCTACACTTGTTCAAGCCGTAGACAATTTGCTTCTATGGTTAGACAATATATTTAAACATATACTAATATAAAGTATAGAAATGAATTTCAAGTTGAGAAATGAAAGATCTTTTAAAACAGAATTTTTTTTCCAAGAAAGACAAAATTTGAGACTCTGTTATGACTAAGGCAATACTTAATATATATGAAGGTACATCAGGGGTGAGCAAACTAATGCCTGCAAGTCAGCTGCCTGTTTTTGCAAACACACTGTTACTGCAACACACCTATGCACATTGGTTTACCTATTGTCTATGGCTGTTTTTGAACTACAACTGATTTGAATAGTGGTGACAGAAACGGCATGGTCTGCAAAGCTGAAAATATTTACTATCTGGCCCTTTACAGAAAAAGTCTGCCTACTCTTGAAGTCTATGAATAATATTAGACATATTAAAAAACACACACCTGGCGGAGTAATAAGGGTTCTTCTATGTTCTTTACACCAACCAACTGGATGAATATGTGGACTTGATGCTTCACACCTGTAAGTTACACAAATTAAAAAACTGCAATTATCAGGATAAACTCACAAACACTAGTAAAAATAAAAAGAAAATTAAAATTAAAGATCATGAACACTTTACAGAAAGTTCTATTTATTACAATCAATCTAATTTGGAAAAAAATGCTAAACCAAAGAAATTTTTACTCTTCTAATATATTAATACCAAGTGAGTGGATTTTTATTAAATATCCTATGGATTTGACACCATGCAATTTTTTGCCCACAGTGTTGTTATATCCTGTAACTTCAACTACAGCAAAAATACACATTCATTAAGACCATGTGGAACAATAAACTTAGACTGTGTGTACATAGGCAAACTAAGGGTAAATGTACAAAGGCAGGGAGCTCAATCATCCTTAATGACCAACATGCTATTCCTGTTACCCATTAGAATGGCAGAGACCAGGTATTATGACAAACTGCTACTCTCTTTTCCTTACCTCCTTCTTCTCCTTTCTGTCCTCTCTACTACAGTCAAGCATCTAATTTCCAAAGCCTCTTTGTCGGCATGCGTAGCTGGTACATCTAATTCCTTGTTCCTAGCCACACTTATGCTATGTATTCCTCTTCTCAACATGCGGCATGTTTCAGCCTATTAACATCATATTAACCTGAGTGTTCTGCAGAACACAGTTTGGAAGATGTTGGTCTAAAAGGTGCCAAGGAGTCCAGTCTTGCTATACTAACCAGGAGGTCTGTTGAGTCTATACTGAGATCAGGAAATCTCAATATACCCCTCTGGATGGGAAACTAGAAGGCAGAAAGTCAGAAAGGTAATAGTGTGGCTGGGGTTTCTGGGGAATAAGGAAGTCTTATGAATAGTGAAACAAAGAACTTTCTACGAAATGTCCTAAGTGGTTGAGATTAGCACACAGTCACAGTCTTTCCAAGCCAACCCTTCTAAAGGCACAGCCTGGGACAATAGTACATGCTGAGTTCATGTAATCACTACTGAATGCTGACTGTTCTCAGAACTCACTTCAGTAGAAAATACCTTTTTCTTAATATGTAAAGGCTTCTTCCTTTATTCAGTTGTTATCTCATGCTGTCCCTACCCCAAACTATTTTTCATGTCATTATTTTAGGAATATGGAAAGAAAACAAGCACTGCTAGGTCCATGCTATGTTCATACAGCAATCACCATGTTTCTTACAATATATATTTTCATAAAAGACATTTTAATACACAATTCATTAAGATGTACTTTTATAAATTATACAAACAAGGCTATGGAGCCCTATTTCCAGATATTCTAGTGTTTTCCTAAAAAATCATTTTGGTAATGGATTATTACTAATGAATTACTCCCTTTATTTTAGGGAAGGTTATTCATTCATACATAGCATCATAAAAAATGAAAAAAATAACAGATATACGATATTTAATTCTTCCTTCTCAATCTAATAGGACTTACAGAGTAGCTTTTATAATTATCTGCTGGACTTACGATGTTTATTTTAAAGTAGAAACAGTGAACATTACTCCTTTGATTTTATTGAATATATAAATTGCAATTACGGAAAATATTGTAACTCTTAATGGTCACTCATTTCTGTGCTATCTGAATCTAATATAAAATTTAAATAACATCTAGATATTGATCAAAGTCACCATTTAAAACAAAGAGGCTGTCTCAACAGCGAAGATAAAAATATTACTGCTTCTATCTATTTTACTTATACTCCCTTAATAAGCAGACAACACTTCACTCAAAAGTTGGAAGGCTGTGATAGCCTTTCTATTGCCATTGTAAAACAAGTCATCTCTTAGTCCCATCTAGTGTTCAAAAGTAGAAATGTAACTGAAAAGAAATAGGAAGAAAAACTAAAGGTAAAAAGCATGGCAAATCCCTTATTGCTGTACTCTGTCTCTCTTTCTTTCGGATGTTTATGTATATCATGAAAGAAGTCCATTTCAAAATATATTTTTGAAGTTCATTTCATGTATAAATGCAAATTATACCCAATGAGACCTAGCCAGTAAATTCTGAAAGGGCCAGAAACCAAAGAAATAACTCATTTAAAAAAAAAAAAATCCATGCTTATGATAAATGGATAAAGTTAGGAGACATGAAGATCCTCATTTTATGGAAATCAAAGAGGTTAAGTGATTTCAGCAAGTACTTGGGTAGAAAAAAAAAAAGGTACTTCTGGTTTTATCAATGACAGCCAAAAGCTAAACAAAAACTAATGCATACACTCTGGGCTCTGCAGATTCAGGCAGAGTCAAAGGAGAATACTGCAAGACGCTTACTTACGGAAAACATCAAAGTCTCTCCGTTAAGCAAGAGCGGTTTAGATTATTTGAAGAAATACAGGACACTTGGCTTCTCCACTCTCTAAACCCAGAGCATGATGATTCTACCACCATTTATTACCCAGTACTCAACTCTCCTGGCTCCCCTTATACGTGAACTCCTCAGGGCCTCCATTACTCTGCACTTTACTACTGAACGCCAAACCTCATCAGCCTGAGTCATCAAGTGGTCCTTTCCATCCCTAATTCATGTCCAATTCCATTACCCACAATAGCTGTTTGAAATAGTATTGATTTCCTTCAAACTTAAAATCTTTCGTTAACATAATGAATACTTGGAAAAGATAAAGGTGATAGCATCTCATCACCCTTGTATCAAATTTTCCTTTTACTTCTTCCTTTTCTCCAGGCTGAGGGAAAAGAAAGTTTCTGTCTTTCTGAGGGCAGCTGCTTCTAGGAGACCTGGCATCAATTAATGACCCATAGTTGCGGAAATCTCCACTTGCTCCCTCCACAGTGGCCTCCTGCCTTCTATCTAAAACCAAGCTCGAAAATGCTCATGGTGCAGGGAACCCTCCAAAGAAGTCAACTTCCTCTTAAGCAATAATCGTTTTGCTTTCAGTACCTAACTTCTCTGCTTAATATCCCTTATGGCTTTTCAACCTTTTGCAAATCGATTTCTGTTTCTAAACCTCTTATTTTAATTTCCATGACACCTGATGAGACACGTATTATTATTAATCCCTTTCAGAGGACAACTAAAGTTTAGAAGTGTTAAGTAATGTACTGAATATACTGGCTGCCATTACTCAAACACATCTTACCCCCAGGCCAATACACAAGCAAGTGCTTTCCTTAACCAGGAATATCCATCCCAACCTCTAAGCACCATTCCTTCTTGGTCCAGCTCAAAGCCTGTGTCCTCTAAGAAGCCCTCTCCAAGAGCCCTCCAGGGAGCTTGAGTCTGTCCTTCCCTCCAAGTTCTATCATGCCTCCAAGTGCCATCACCCCTCCAAGTAGCTGGTTCTAAAAATTTAGCACTAACCACCATCTAACCTTCAGCCAAGACAGTGGTGTTTAGTTTCTCTCCATCCCCAGACCCTCTGGACTGAAGTTTAAAACTGCCCAGTTTCCACTGATCTCCACAACCTTCCCATCACCACCATCAACCAGTGCTTCCCAAATTTAAATAGGGATAACCCTGTTAACTGACGCTGCTCTAAGAAACTGACAACTTTCAACATGATTTTAGGGAGACACATAAAGTTACTATTGCTTTTAATGTATAAATGTAAAAGAGGTTCATCTCTAAAAAATAAGTTTATGGAAAAGAGGCAATCAGAAAAAGGTCCACTAATCTATTTGTTCTAATTCACTAACAATGCTTCTCTTTTTTATAGATCTTTTTCTTGCTCATTTTTGCCTTGACTCCACTGGGACACTAAAGTACAATGGAACCAAAAATGGCTGAAGCTGCAACCTCATTCACTTAGGCCTTCTACTAAACAATGGGCCAAATCCTGTTGTCATCCCTTCCTGGATCCCAAAAGATAAGGGTATGTGAAAATAATAAAAGAAAGGTTCCTTCCTACTTCCTAGTCCCTGCAGAAAAAAGAGGAAGTGACTGTTCTCATTGTGTTCTGCCTGTGGCTGCTGTGGCAGGAGGGTGTGCTACCCTGGAGGTGCTCACCTACCTTCCTGGATCCCTACAGTCCTTTCTAGTGCTGATATTCTATAATACCTAGGATTATTCCTAAACCTAACAACTGTTAAGGAGATAGAATTGAGCAGCTACCAATTATCAGTAACAAAAGCACAGAAGAAACCCAAAGGTGATGCCATTTTTAGTTTAATATATACTATTTTTGTTTCATAGAAAACTACTTTTTCAATCCTACCTAAATTTTTATTATGTTCTTCTTTGGAAGTTAGAAATGTTTTACTGCAACATGTAGTATCACAAATATATATAGACACATACATATTTTCAAATTCCCACTAATGTAAAAAAGAGATATAGAATTACTATTCAATTCAAAGCAAAAAATGTCTCATTTCCAAACTATTTTAAATTGGGAAAGGCAATCCAATCTGTAACCTCAATTACATACCTAAGTAATTTATGCAGATAAAAACCATTCCGAAATTCAAAGATCAAAGAGCATAATACTTAGTAAAAGTGGAGAAATTCCAGAGCACTTAAGTAATTTCCATTGTGCCTTAATTGCATGTTGTGGAAGAGAACACACTGTTTTCATTTTCTTTTTCAGACAATTAACAAAATATGATTTCATGTCAGTAGCTGGAAGTCTAAGTAATCCTCAAGGTACATTCCATCCTAAAAATAATTAAGTTTGTGCTCATAAAAGCACAAAACTAGAGTTAAAAGAGATTAATTTTTTTTTCTTTTCTTTGTATTTTTAGAATCCAGGATCTTTTTAGAATCCAGGAGCCTTTTTTAGAACCCAGGATCCTTCCTGTTTGTTCCTTAGATATTTGGCATCAAAAAATGAATGCAGCAAATTCTTTTAGACTCCTTCCTTGCTTTTTTTCCACAAGAATGTTTTTAAAGGCAACACATCTTACGTCAAATCAGCAACTTATACCTTTACAACACTGTTAATACTTACGAGATCACAAAAATAAACTGACATTCACCCATTTTGTTTAAATCAGGCAAAAGCTTTAAAAAAATTCTCCTCAAATAAACCACAACTTCAAAACGAAAACATTCTCATTTCAACAGATTCCAATTGTTGCTTTAGCATCATTCCTTAAGAAAAGGCCTTGGAGCCCAGTTACTGCCCCAGTAGTACTATCATCACAGTCCACCAAGCACAGAAGGAGACAACACAGGTTTGATTCAGGACCGATTTAGACTATTTCCAAAGTTAACATTTTCTCATCCACTCAGCCATTCAAAATAGGTATAGAACATTTTTGTTGTTTTTGAAATGTTTATGTAGAGTCAGGGGTCTTGCTATCTTGCCCAGGCTGGCCTCAAACACCTGGGTTCAAGTGATCTCCCACCCTGGTCTCCTAAATTACTGGGATTACAGGCATGAGCCACTGTGGTAGGCCCAACAATTTTAAATGAAACAAAACCCACCAGTTTACAGTAAATAGGAGGAATAGAAGAACACAGTGAACAATAAGACAAGGTCTCAATCAGCAAATCAAACTGAGAGACTCAACAGTACAAACAACCTGGTGTCTTTAATAAGGGCTACAACCAAAGAGCAAGAAAGGAGAGGAACAGGTATCTGTAAATTAAACAAGGTCAAGCAAAGCAATCACAAAGTGTACACCTTATTGGATGTAAAACCATCAGCTAAAAACAAACAAAAACCCACTAAAATAACTGGGAGAAATATTTAAGTATGTTAGTAATATCATAGTTACTATTATTTTTAAGAAAATAAAAACTAATTCCTCTCTTTAGAAGATACATACTGAAATATTTACAGGTAAAATGCTCCGATATTTGTAATTGATTTCAAAACAATCCCAGAGTTGGGATTTTAGAAGTAGGAATACACAGGAAACATACTGGATATAAGGTGATCATTGTTGGTGCTAAGTAAAGACTACAGTAGGGCTACTCTATTATACTATTTTTGTGTTACTGTTAGAAATTGACTGTATTTCAATGAAAAAATTTAATTATAAACTGAATGTAAAAATGTCCTATGAGGAAGAATTATGCTCTGCAGAAAAAAGCTGGGGAAAACACAATATATTTGAAAGTGCAGTCATGTCTTGGTTTTAGCAGGAGACTGGTTCCAGAAGCCCCCTCGGACATCAAAATCTCAGGATGCCCAAGTCACTTTTATAAAAGGGCATTAATAACTGCATATGACCTTCACACAACCTTCTGTAGACTTTATCTCCCATAGACTTTAAATCATTTCTACATTACTTAGAATACCTAATACAACATAAATGCTATATAAATAATTGTTATACTGTATATTCTTATTTGTATTATTTTTATTATTCTGTTATTTTTCAATTTTTTATATTTTTTATCTGCAGTTGGTTGCATACATGGATGTGCAACCCACAGATACAGAAGGCCTAATTGTACTTGGGTCTGTAATCTCATCATGGAACTAATTGTCTACATTTTTGGTAACATATAATAGAAAGCATTTAAAAAATACGAATAGCAAATGAATGTCAACATCTCTTCTTTTTTAGACAATGCAAGTAAAACTGGTAAGTATCTAAGAATACCATCTGAGAAGCAATGGAAATTACCGATGGGTCTACAGAATGTTTAAATAGGTGGATACTAAAAAGTAAGGTCAAAAAACAAACCTCCCTGAAATTTAGCAATATTTATAGAAGTTAATATTCACTTACCCTGTAACACAAGCCATATTTTAGAAAGATAGCTGTTATTTCTCTAAAATGTTCTCAATTCAAGTGTACTCTAGAAGGAACTAAACACTTTAGAAATGCCTTTTACCAGGAAACTGAATTATAGCAATCAATGAACATGAATTGGGTATGAAAAATCCTTATTGCAACTGTTGAATCAAAATACAATGGCTTTATTATAATTGTATTATAATTACATAATTTTAACATATGTTGCTTTTACTACTCTGTGCAGTGTATCTAAAAACTGCAATAATTAAAAATAATATTCTTCAACATATTTTGCATTCAGCTATTATGAATGCTCAAATTAGCTGGTGGGCATGAAAATAAGAAGGGAAGATCAAAATAAGTGTGAACATACATTAGCAATGTGGGGTGTAGGGACTGCACTTCCATAGTAGGAAGTCAATAAAATACAAATCATAAAGTAGAATTAAAGGATGTTATTTAAAATACATGCCATATGGAACAGGTAAAAAATTAAAAATCTGTAATAGAAAAAAGTGGGCGAATGTTGTGGTTTTTTTTTTGTTGCTATAAGCTTTGTGTTCTTACTGTTTCTAAACCATGTACTTGGTTTACTTGGATAAACATTAAATTTTTAAAAGCACACAACAATGGAAAATGTCTCACCAATAGTCATAGCTTTCATCCCAGTTGTCAAAATGTACCAGGAAACGATTGTCCACCATATCTGTTACCGTAGCAACACAGATGAATGTGGGATTCTTTTTGTCTACTGCCTCAAGCTTCATACCAACTCGAAAGCCCGATGGGATCACTGTCTATGGAAACACACAGATTTAATTAGAGATAAGCACACACTTAACTACAAGACCTGCACACTCTCTGCCTCTGCTCAAAGGCCTGGCATCCACTGCTGTATTCACATAATTTCAAAATCATATGCCAGTTTCACAGCAGGGTCGCTTTCCAACAAGCAGCAATTAAAAAAAAAAAATGCCCTACTGCTACACCCAATTAGCTATCTGGGCCTCAAAACGAAAAATCCATTACCTCACAGAGTTAAAAATAATTAATTTTAACATGCGTTTTGATACCTTAATTAGAAAACTGTAAGTTTTATTCACCATATAGTTCACATTTTGTCCTTTTTTTCTTTATTACAGACTTAACAATGAAAATTATTCATACAAAATATGCACTTAATCAAGTTAAAAATGTGCATGAGTCAGTACAAATTCACTCCCACTTCTGCAAATCTCTCTCAAAAGAGTACTCTACTGAAAGTAGGTCATCTTCATATATGAAAGGCTGCAAATTATTACAACTTTTACTCAACACTTCAGATACATCTTATTCCTAACAGCAGCAAAAGAACTGGCTGTTGACGTACACAGCTATTCAAAATAGTTGGTAACTTAAAGAAATCCACAGATAATCAGTCATTTGGATCAGGGAACAAAGACAATAAAAGATCTGTAAGAGTTAGTGCTTGAGGTACAGTAATGCATAAACACCTCTTACAATCTTTTATGAGGAAAAGTATCTTTATCTATCTGTATATACATTATAGACTAGTATACCTAGATACCAATTATGCCAATCACAATACAATGTAAGTCATTTCTTTCCTTTAAAAAAAGACACTGTTCAGACTCATTATAATTATTCTAACTAGTTTAAGCAAAATAGATACTATCTTTCATTTTACTATGATTATACAACTATCATTGTAAAAATGTAGACAGCCGTGTATCTGAAAATGTTAGAATAAGTCATGTCTGAATGAAACAGGCACTAATGCTACACAGAAATCTTTACTATGAATTTAGTACTGAGAGTTTTGACCATAAATGTTCGAGGATTCTGAGGTAGAGGAATCTAGAAATGGAAAAAATTAATTGTCTCTTAGATACGAAACACAGAGCCCGAGATTAAGTTGTATGCTAGCAATGCATAGAATTTAGGAGGACAGTTCAAGGCAGTTAATCAAATCCCTGACAGAAGTCATCATCAGAGAACCAGACAGGGATTAGGAAAGTTGGAGCAGAGACAGCAGGCTGCTGAGTTTTCCACCGAACTGACCTTCCTCCCTGGGATAAGTTCTGACACACCAACTGACAATACACTATAACATTTCAGAAATTACGCTATCCTCTCAATTAAGACGTTTTAAAATAATAAGCTGGCTCATTAACACTATTAATAACCTAAACACACAAACACACATGCACACAAACACAATTTGTCAGTTCTCTAATTCAACCTGGTTTGTGTTCGATTAAATCAGAGAACATTCCAGCCATTAAATTGATGCTCTCAAACCAACTGGTTTATACTGTTTCTCAAATGAAGGGTTTTTGGAATGAGGAGGTTTTCCCCTGCTTTTGATGTTTGTTTATTTCCATTTGGAGGGAACGCTGTCAGTGAAACATTAGTGCTTCTCCCCACTGTCTCACTGAATGCTACCTGCCTGGTGACTTCGGGAAGGAGGAACTGATCATACTAGAAAGAAAGCTGGGCTGCAGGGTACGCAGTTTCTACTCTGCTCCTCAAGGGTCTAGTGTTCCCTGCACTTGGGGGATGGGGCCAAAAGGAAAATTAAATCTCTTCAATTCTAGGGCTCAGAATCAAGCATATTTGTCTGCAGATAAAGGCCATGCACATTCTCCAACTTAGCTCTGACCATCTGTAAAGATGGCATTTTGGTTTTCCACTGGCTTGCTCTTTATTCTTTCCAAATAGATCAGAACTTGGGACAAGAAAAATGTCATGAATCAGGTCTGTCAACAGAAGAACATGTTATGGAAGGTGGGAATACAGGTCAAGAGGTAGAAAAGAGACACACATCGAGACTTTGTTTCTGTTTACTGTAAACAAAGCTATAAGCTAGAGTGAAGACAAGTCACAGTCTCCAGTGACCTCCTACATATAAACTGAAACAGGGCTGCCTTCATCCGGCTATGTGAATCCCATTTAAACAGCACTACCAAATAAGTGATAATAACAATAAAATATCTCTGCCAATTTAATTTTTTATGCATCTTAATTGTAAATCTCAACTGAATCTTGTACTATCTTGTCTTCTACTGTGCAATAAAAGAGACGATCATAATATGGCTATGAAATATATTTATTCATAAAGATTTTAAGCTAATTTTAAACTTTAATTAAGGTAAGAGTACTCTATTTACCAAGGCAATAAAATTTATTATAGTTCTTTGTTATCACTTGTAATTGATCCTATAAGATATTCAAAAAACTTCTTCCTTTGAAAGGAAACATGTGTTGTATGTACTTACTATATTCTGATTTTCAAATAATGACTTAGGAGCAGCTTGAGCTTTACATGTCTTAAGATAGGTCTGCCAGTTAAATTCCTCTTCTTTATAACCTGGAGAAAGCACATAGGAACAGACTGACTCAAATATCAAAATATTTTACACTTAGTTTTCTAGTCCTACTTTTATCTCCAACTCCAACATGCCAAAATCAATCAAATGACTTTTTCAATAAAAAAATTTTAACCCATAATTCATAACTATGGATATTTGGAATACGTTTATTTCCAATAAGCTGTATTATTACTTTCCAATTCTGAATGAATGGTAATGGATATAAAGAAAAGGAGTAAGGAAGCAAATACTTATTATACCTAGGGCACTTTTTACTATCAGGGTATTTCTACCAGTATTTAGGTAGAATTCCTCAGCAATACAGATACTGAACTGGAGTGGTCAAAATTCTTTATTTTTCTCTCACCTAGTCTATTTTGGGAAGACTAACTTACAGAAACAAATGGGAATTTGGAAATAATAGAAAGGGAACAGATAAAATCCTTTTGGCCTATCACCTCAAGAAGGACAATTAAAGGTTTATGAAGTAAGGATGCTGGCAAATTACAAAAAGGGAAATATCCTTCCTTCCTTTAATTTTTTACAATTTCATTGAATTTAACATTTTCTTAAAAAAGGAAATTCAGCATCGTATTTTTTCTGCGGATGTGCGCTCTTTTACATTCATCAAAGTCCAAAAGGCGCCGTGAAAAGAACAGCTAATAATTGACCATATGTAAGAGATCAATTCATGGAAGGCTTACAGATTTTCTTTTTCACCCTCATCTTTCCTATGCGATTTTGTTTAATCCTTCAGCTATATACCACTTTGCCACTATTTTTTCACTTACAACAAAGGAATGGCTAATGCATTAAAGCCCTGAAATAGGCCACAAATATCAAACTAGTAACCTGAATTTTTGACATCAAGTAAACAAAAATAAATGTAATGATTAAAAGAGAAGGGAACAAGATGTTACTAAACATGGCCGGCACAGAGGCTCACACCTGCAATCCCAGCACTTTGGGAGGCTGAGGTGGGCAGATCACTTGAGGCCAGAAGTTCGAGACCAGCCTGGCCAACATGGTGAAATTCTGTCTCTACTTAAAATAGAAAAATCAGGCAGGCATGGTGGTGGGCGCCTGTAATCTCAGCTACTCAAGGAGGCCGAGACAGGAGAATCGCTTGAACCTGGAGGGCAGTGGTTGCAGTGAGTGAAGATCGCACCACTGCACTCCAACCTGAGCAACAGAGCAAGACTCTGTCAAAAAAAAAAAAAAAAAAAAAAAAAAAAAAAAAAAAAAAAAAAAAATTACAGAACACATTAGGGAGAGAGTGGAAAAGATGATATTTACTGGTGAACTATAATATAAAGAACTCAAATATAAGAAAAGTAATTGCTACAAGTTCAACCCCCCACCTAAGCCAATTATTAGTGTTACAGTCTTCTTGCCAGTCTCCTAAATATTAAGATCTGTAAGTTCATGCAGAATTTCTCAGAATTTTCTATATACTGAAAAACTGATTTGAAAAAATAGCTTAAAACACTTTACTCTAAACTTAGTTATGTAAACTCATTTAAACTAATTTTTCAAATTGGTATTTTCAAAGATGTATATATTTAATGATAGAAATTTGCAGGTAAACATTATTTGTAGTCAAAGTTGAGTATCATGCAAATGTTATGTTACATAAAAATAAGTACACGAACATAGTTTACTTTCTTAAGTTGTACTGTAATTTTATTTCTTTTACTTTAATAAATGTGTTTTTATCATGAACAATAAGGGTAAATTTGCACCTATCTGAATTTTCATCAAGCCTGAATTTTTAAAAATTCTAACATCGCATGTTAAGAAAATGAGTTTTTACTGAATTTAAAATATGAAACAGAAACTGACAAAACCTTTTGGAGGATGGAGTTTGTGGCCGGTTTTCTCACACCACCCAACCGGGTGGATATCCAGAGCGTCTGCATTCACCCAGAAGTCATAGCAATCAGAATACCCATCAAAGTGAAGTTTTATCCGGTATCCACAAACCTGAAACAGGTAAAGCAGGCTGAATTACTTCTTTAACCCAGAATATTCATGTACATATACAAAAATAAACATGGACACCAGGCATGATACAGCCTTAATGTTAATCAAACCACCCACATTAACAGCAAACAACTATACAGATATCCAGAATTTAAAGGCAAAGCCTATCAAATTGGGAAGAGCTGAGCTGGGGGATTCTGGCAACATTCTTAGTTACATTAGGAGCACATGGATACGGGGCAAAGACTGATTTCCCACAAGTGTAGGTCCTTTCTCCACTCCCTATACTGTACCAGGATGTGTCCCCAAGGTGAGCTGGAAGGCAAGTAGCCACCCCAGCACAGCACACTCAGTTCCAGCAGGGCCCCAGAGTGGACGCTCTGCCCTGCACTAAATGCTGCAGACCTCGGCTAGAGCAAATGCAGAGAAATCAAGCGTCTCTTCTCCACCAAAGCTGGATTGGAAGAAAGAAAGAAAAGTGTCTCACCTAGTTTATTACTTGGATGAGACAGGCTCCTAAGAATGCTAGTAAGAACTCATGCTGTATAACACATGCTGTACATATGCCTACAGGGCTCCACTTTGGAACATTCTGATTTAGAAGGTCACGTGGGCTTAAGCAACCTGAGCTGGATCAGACCCTTCCCTGGGCTCTCAGAGAGTAGATTCAGCCCCTCAGTCTTCTTCCCACTAGCACAAGCAGATGTGCTCAAGTAGAAACACATACCACACCAGACAACTATCCCCTCCAGGAGCACCTGTCCTGCAGAAGCCTGAAAGAGGAACTTAGACCAGAGTGCAGGGCCAGGGCAATCAATCCTCAAAGTGAGGTAGCTGTACAGTTACTGTCATGGAAAGTTGTCTAAAACATACTGCTAAAACTCACATGGCGGAACTAACATAGAATGAGTTAGTTCATGAGAAAATTAGACACGTGGGGGTCCACATGTATATCTATGTGTATATAATTATGTATACATATATGTATGTGTGTGTATATATACATAAGTATATGCATTTATATACATAATTATATAAACTTATTCATATATATGTAAACACATGGTACAAAGAAGTCTGGACAAATATTTGCCAAAATTTTAATGATTTCTTCTACAAGCGATAGAAAAGAAGGGGCAAAAAGGAAATGATGGACTTTTAATATTTTCTCTTATGTATCAGTATTTTTTCAATTGGAATGTATTGATATACCACATACATAAAATTTACAACTAAGCTGACTACCCCCAGAGAACAGAGTCTTTCCATAGAGCTGAGATTGGAATCCCTGGGAAATATAATCTCTCAAGAAAGGCTGGGCTACCCCCACTCCCTGCAGCCACCCCATGCAAAGAAGGCTGCTTCACTCCTCTGTCTCACAGTCAGCTGTCTCTGGCCGATCCTAAAAGCTCAGCCCCTTTAGTAAGTTACAGCCTCTACTTTCTGGTGGGCACACCGTTCTGAGCTTCTGCTCCCCTGAGCTGAGCTCTCTGCTGTCCCTCAGTCTCTATCTCAGGCTCTCTGGAAAGCTATGCTTTGAGAAACAACCTCCCATATCCTCATCCTTCTTGCCCACAGTCGTACCTAGCTCATCTTTCTCGAGCCTTTCCCTAAGGCTGCTCCTCTTCCCCACTCACCACCTGCACACATAGGTGGAGTTGCTGCTTCCCACCACACCACGGATCCTAGGCCAGTTCTCTGAGGCTCGAGCCACGTGGCTGAAGCAACTCTTCTGCTCTTCCTCCCCCATGCTAACCTCCCGAACACTTACCCTGGCTTATTCTCTTCCTCTCCATCTGAGTACTTTCATCATATCTATGTATGACTCTTCTAGTACCTTGGCGTTGTGGCTCCCTTCTCCCTGCTTCAAGCCCTCGCTCCCATGAATCTAGTTCCCAACAAGAACTGCTCTGCTTCTTAATATTCATGTAAAAATCCAACCCTAGGACACATACTCCTACGCCAGTTTGCAAACTCGGTTACTGCCAGCATGCCTCTTCCTCCATCTCAACAGAAACTCGACTATCTCACATTGGTCCCTCTACTTCCTCCCTAGCAGCTCCCCTCACCCCAAGCCGTCCTTTCCTAGCAATCACTTAAAAAACATTTTCTTGCCAACATTTAAAAAGTTCTGCCCTGATATCCTTTGCAAACATTTGCTGGTGACGTTCCACCATTTCAGGTATCCATCTTGTCTGTACCTAACAGAGTCTAGTAAATGGTGCTGGGAAGGAAAAAATGACATCCCGCCAGTCTTCACTACTCACGTGTTGTGTTCCGTATTTGTGACTTCATCTACTTGCTAACAATTTATTTGTAACCCCAAAATAATACCTGCAGTATTCGTGGACATGCACAGACTGACAACACTTTTGAGTCACTCAACATGTATGTTCCCAGCTGAAGTCAATCAAGAAGGCGCTTTACCGTCTTGTTTCAGTCCTCATACTGGGAACAAGTGTCTTTTGTGGGGTCCATTTAGTGCCGCACGTTCTACATTTTTGTGCTTTTTTTGGATGAAGCTGCTGTTTAAAATGGCCCCTGACATAGTGCTGAAGTGTTATTTAGTGTCCCTAAGTGTCAAAAGGTTGTGATGTGCCTTACAGAGAAGGTACTTGTGCTAGATAAGCTTCATCAGGCAGGAGTGACAGTGCTCTTACTTGCGAGTTCCATTTTAATGAATCAATAACATATATGAAATGATGTGTCTTTAAACAGAAACACACATAAAACAAGGTTACATACTGATCAGTAGACGAAAGTATGACCAGAGGCTCACAGGAAGCTAACCCGCTATTTCCCCAAAGAGTGATGGTTCCATACTTGCTAATTTGTGGAGCGTAACTACTGCAAATAATGAGAATGGAGCAACAAGAATCAACTCCACCTCAATGCTGGGCTCTGCCACTGCATGGCAATTCTCCTCCATGGTCCTGCTTAACTCCCTCTCCCATCCTTCACTGCAGCCTTTTCAAATCCTCCTCCTTCTCCGTCAGCTTCTAATCCCACTTTTTCCATCCTCATTCTCAGCTAGGAATTTGCCTTCTAACACAAATTTGCCCTCTTTCTGTGTGCCTCCAAACCGAGAAGCCTCCCTGTATATCCATGAGCCCTACTGCTCTGCCCCTCCTTCCTGTTAAAATGCAAGAGACTCCTTCTCCTGCCTAACACTGGGATCTCTGCATATACTCTGGGTCCCATCTTCCCCCAGGCCTCTTCTCTGAACCTTCTAATACTCTACTCCCTAGCGGCTTCTTCAGAGTTCAAATACTATGTTCTCTTACCATTGCAAAGGGGCGGGGGGGTGGGGTGGGGGGAAGCAAGCCAAGAAGGAAAGAAGGGAGGGAGGAAGGAAGATAAAAAGAGAAAATTAATATGAAAAGTAGTAATATGCATCAAAAATTTAAATGTAGTTTAAATGTCCATAATTTTCACCTGGCAATTCTAGAGACAGATCCTAGACCTACTTACAGATACAAAAGGATGCTCACTGAACCTTTTTTTTTTTTAATAATGAAAAAATGAGGATCACTCAGTTGTTCAATATGAGAGCAGTTCAGTGAATTAAGGTCAATTCCGTAAAATGGAGTACTACCCAATGGTTAAAAAGAGTATGTTTGCCAGGCGTGGTGGCTCAGGCCTGTTATCCAAGCACTTTGGGAAGCCAAGACGGGAGGATTGTTTGAGCCCAGGACTTCAAGATCAACCTGGGCAACATAGCAAAACACCATTTCTAAAAAATAAAAAAATTATCTGGGCATCAGGTGGTGCATGCCTGTGGTCCCAGCTACATGGGAGGCTGTGGTGAGAGGATCACTTGTGCCCAGAAGGTTGAGGATACAGTGGGTCATGGCCACGTCACTGCACTCCAGCCTGAGTTAGAGAGAAAGAGACTATGTCTCAAAAAAAAAAAAAAAAAAAAAAATTGGAGGCCAAGGCGGGCGGATCACCTGAGGTCAGGAGTTCAAGATCAGCCTGACCAACATGGTGAAACCCCATCTTTAAAAAAAAAAAGAAAGAAAGAAAAGAAAAAGTGTGTGCATGTGTGTGTGTGTGTGTGAAAAACAAAAAGCAATACATATTTTTTTATACAGAGAAAACATCTGGAAGGCACAAAGTCAACTATTAAGGGTCATGCTTTCTGGGATATGGAATATGGAAGGAAGGAAGGGTGATGGGAAACAGGACTTTTATTTTTTATTAATAAGCACTCTTACACAATTAATAGTTGATGTTTTCATAATGAGCAAACATTACTTTTATAATAAAAAATTAGGGAAGGTAAAATAAATCTGCAAAAACCAAAAGCTGAAAAACACAGACACATACCATAAAAATTCCCTTTCTCTTTTACAGCTAAATTTCTCAAAAGCAGTCTATAGTTATCGCTTCCTCACAATGACTTTGTAAAACGCCAAACACTCCAATTGCCCTGGAGTGTTTCTGTCCCCAAACACTCCAACTGCCCTGGCCGCAGACACAATACCCTTGAGAACAACCACAGCATCTGACACTGCTTCCTCCCCGCTTCAACTGCCCGCTCTCCTGGCTTCTGCCGCAGGCCCCAGTTCTGGTGCCTTTCTCTGTCTCTCGTGGTTCCTTTTCAGGATCCTGCTCTACGCTTTCTCCTGCACCCACCTCTTACATGATGGTATTCTTCAGGGTTAGCAAGTCACACCTTGTCCTCTCTCTGGGCAGTATCATCCACTTCAGAGGACAAACACCAAAAACTCTGACCCACCCCTTCCAGATCCAAAGGGTCTAACAAAAACCCAAGTCCAGGAAGGAGAGAACACACAATGTCTGATCAAGATTAAGAGTGACAGTATTCTCACTTTAAATAAAACCTACAAAAATGTTCCACAACAGTTCTGATATGAGTAAGAGAGTCCAGTTACTTCCTTTCACTACGTATTACATTATTACAGCTGCAAGTTCCTTTAACACTCAATGCCTCAGATTTCTCATCTGAAAAATGGGAGGAAATGGGTTTTATCTCAAAAGATTGTTTTGAGAACTAATAAGAGCAATCAGAGGGCTGGGCATGATTACTCATGCCTGTAATCCTAGCACTTTGGGAGGCTGAGGCCGGTGGATCACCCAAGGTCAGGAGATCGAGACCAGCCTAGCGAACATGGCGGAACCCCATCTCTACTAAAAATCCAAAAATTGGCCAGGTATGGTGGCACACACCTGTAGTCCCAGATACTCAGGAGGCTGACATGTGAGAATCACTTGAATCTGGGAGAGGAGGGTTGCAGTGAGCCAAGATCGTACCACTGCACTCCAGCCTAGGTGACAGAGTGAGACTCTGTCTCAAAAAATAAAAATAAAAAAGGAGCTAACAGATAAAAAGTACTTCAATTAGCTACTGGCACACAGTATGTCCTATGTAGCTGTATGTGATCACTGACTGAGACTGTCTTATCTAGCTATCATATGGTACTGTGTTCTGCAGAAGCCAAGCTTCTTACAAGTTCACTAGGTAATTAAAGAACAGTATGATACCTAAAACTAGCACACGAGACTATTTTATTCTTTCGGGAGGAATTCTTCAAGTACATACACCTGTGGCTCAAGGCAGGGAGTAGGGAGGAGGTTAGCATAGGAGGAAACACATTTTCTAAAGTGCTCTCTGTAATGTACATATGTATAACTGACTTGGTCATTTTTTTTCTGAAAAATTCCAGAGAGATACTTCCAAATACTCAAAAAAATAAGTATCTACTGATCTGTTCCTTATGTTAAGGAACACAGTAGGGCAAGGGCTACAGAATCAAACAGACATGGGTTCAAATTCTGGTTCTACCACTTTGAAGCTGTGTGGTCACAGTTTCTAAAGCATTCTCAGTAACATATTAGACTGAGATATGTATTTATATATTTGGTTTGGTCTTTTTAAAATTTTTTTCCCAAAAAATTTCTCAGAGATACCTTGAAGTACTAAAAATAAATAAATAAATAAATATCTGTTGGTCTATTCCTTATGGCAAAAGCTATGACATCAGACAGACACTGGTTCAAATCTGGGTTCTACCACTCTGAAGCTGTGTGGTCTTCCGTCACTTCATCATTCTGAGTCTCAGTTCTCTAATCTACAGAACAGAGCTTGAGAAAAACCATGACCTGCACAGGATTCTGATAAAGATTAAATGAAATAAGGTACACAAAACAGCAAGCACTGCGCCTGGCATGAAGTAAGCGCTCAACCAACGGCAGCTTTTCCTCATTTTAAATCCCCATAATCATCATTTTATCTTAAAGATAAAGATGAGGCAAAGCTTACCTCCGCCACAGTGAGGACACAGTACACAGACTGATGCTCGGGGTCCACGCCTTCTAATTTCATGCCAACTTTGAATCCATTTTTGTTATATGGAAATGATTGATACTGAAATGCAAAATGACAGCAGCTTTAATCTCTTATTCCAAAGACCTAGTTAAAAATCTAGTTACCATTTTAAAAATAAAGATGATTTAACCAAATACATAACTTCTAAAACCCAAAGAAAAAAATCAATAAATAATGCAATTTAAAAAAAAAATGGACTAAGGCTATAAATAGGTCACAGGAATGGAAATGTAATGGCATACAGCCTTTGTCTCTGATGTATTCGTAAAGATGCTCGACCTCATGCAGAAGAGACATACGAAGTAAAATTACACTAAGATGTGTTTCACCTATCAGGCTGATAAAGATCTAGAAGGTGGACAACACTGTGTTGGTAAAGCTGTAGGAAAACAGATACGTGCATACATCACTAGGAAGAATGATAATTGGTACAACTTCTAGAGATTTCATAACATCAATCAAAAAATTCTTTTCAAGGCAACAATTCTAATTCTAGGAAATTATCCAAGAGATACTCAGACATGTGAAAAATGACAGATGTTCAAGACTATTCACTAAACCATTAGCAAAAAGATTTGAAAGAATATATGTATGTATGTGCAAATCAATAGGGAGCAACCTAAATTATTACAGAACAGGCCTAAGATGTAATACTATGTACTAGTATTACTAGTGTAAAAGAATAGTGAAGGGATTCATGACTCAGATAAACATCCTCAAACTGTCATGTTAAACAAAAATAAAGCAAAGTCCAAAAAGTATACAACATATGCTACCATTTGGTTTAAGACAGAAAGGGAAGGATCTGTGTGTGTGTGTGTGTGTGTGTGTGTGTGTGTGTGTGTGTATACACACACACACAGATATATATATGTATGTATATTTTGCTAATATGAACATAGAATTTTACAGGAAGGGAATAAAGAACTGGTAACACTGGTTACTTCAGGAGAGGCAAACCTGGTGGCTGGGGGACAGGGCTATGAGAGACATTCTTTATACTATTGTAGTACTTTTACATTTTGAATCACGTGCATTTACTACTGATTCAAGGAATTATCTACATTTAAACTTTTTTTTTTTAATGTGAAAATGTCTATTCTCTAAAGGACCAAAGCTTACAGAAAATAATTACAGAAAACAAAATTATCTGTAATTATTATATTTAAATTAAACATTCTTAATGTAGATGTAATCATCTTAACATTTACTAACATTTACTATTCATGACTTTTTATAAGCTTGTTATGTTCATACCTACATAGAAATACATCTATGGCAGATGAACTACATACCATGATTAAATATAACGAAATAATTTAAACCAAGGGTCAGCAAACTACAGTCTGTGGGTCAAATCCAGCACACTATGAGTTTCTGAAAACAGTCTTACTGGAGCATAGCAGTGCCCACTTGTCTACGTATTCTCTATGGCTGCTTTTGTGCTACAATGACCTGAGATTTTGCAACAGAGACCACAGGCTCTGAAATGCCTAACATATTTACTATTTGGCCCTTTACCAAAAAGTTTACCAACCCTTGTGTGTGTGTGTTTGTGTGTGTGTGTGTGTGTGTGTGTGTGTGTGTGTGTGTGTATTTAAGAGACAGGGTCTTGCTCTGTTGTCCAGGCTGGAGGCCTGGCAGGATCATAGCTCACGCCAACTCTGAACTCCACACTTGGCTATATTTTTAATTTTTTAATTTTTTTTTTTTTTAGAGGCAGAGTCTCACTATGTTGCTCAGACTGGTCTCAAACTCCTGGCCTCAAGCGATCCTACTGCCTCAACTTCCCAAAGTGATGAGACTGCAGGTATGTGTCACCACACCAGGACCCCATCTTTGGTTTAGTTTGTAATATAATATAGTGACCCATTTTTAGATGTTTTGTTGTGATAGTATATAAATCTTAGTAACTCATTTTTAATCTCTCAAAGCCATAACGAACATGAAATTTGATGTGAAATGTTGAAATGAAATTTCCTAACATTTTTTTTTCTTCATCTACTAGTTTTTCATGGTAGTATTAGTATCCTTGTTAAAATTCATGATTGCAAGCCCATTGATGCTGAGAGAAAAGAGCACACATGTCAATGTGCACACACCCATGTGGCACGGGGCAGGCACACACCCGTCAATGTTAACTGCCTTCCACATAAACACACGCATGAAAAACTGTATGCTGAAAAAATGATCCCAAGTCAAATTTCAGTGGAAACGACAATCTTAATTCAGGCTGGTATCTCAGCTCCCGTGCCCTTACAGATCATATCTCTATAAAGGCCATACCTCCTTGAACAGCTTCGCCGGCACTGCCACAGCTTTCTCCTCTTCCAGGTAGGATGCCCAGCACCATGATTTCTTCCCTTTAGGAGGCAAACCTGAAAGGTAAGCGAGACTGAAATGACAGAATTTCCAAATCTAAGCAAGCAGTGATGCACTGTGAACTCAGCTTCCCTGATTAACACTCTGCCTGGCTCTTCTCTGACTTCCACAGCTGGTATCTCTCTGCCTCTCCTCCTGGCTCCTCTTCCCAAGAACCAAGATAAAAAGTGAACTGTGGTTTGCACCCACAGTGAGGATTGTAGGAGATGGAACTGGAAGAACTTAGAGTAAAGGCAGAAGACAGCAGGAAGTCAAGACAGAACACTGCCACGGAAGCTACAGGAAGGGAGAGCTTCTAGAAGCAGGAGGCTCAAACAACTTTCCCTAAGAGATCAAGAAGTTGAGGACTGTGGAAAGGCCAGTGCATTGACTAGCTGCTAACCTTGAAAAGGAAAGCAAAAAAACAATACAGTGAGAGGCAGATTTTTAGGTGCCAAAAGAATATATAAGTGATCATGGAGGCAGTTAGTATCAATTTTACATATCTTGGATTAATTTGACAAATACTGGAAATGAAGGGGAAATATAATAGCCTGATGGGTAGGAGAGTTGAGAGAAAGGTATTTTGGGGATGAGATTGTAACAGGCTAAGGTAGAGTACACCAAGAGAAAAAAAAACTGGAAAACTTAAGGAAAAAACATGACTGAAGGAACAAGGTACCAGAAGAGCCAGGGGCCTGAAAGTTTATCCAGGGTAAACAAGAAAGGCAAGGGAAAGAACAGTGAAAGAAACAGACATTTCCAGGCAGAGTGAAGAGCAACTGAGGTTTCTACCCTTCATCTCAGTGACATAAAATGGAAGGTCCGCTCTGAAAAGACACAAAAATTAAGCTGTGCGCCTGGGGCAGGTGGGACTTTTCCAGTTCTTTTTGAGGAATTAACAGAACAAGGCTGGCATGCATCCCGGCACCGAGGAGGAGCACAGGTTCTTGGCCCTGGTTTGTCGGGACGCTGTGACAGTGTAGGCTGCGAGCTGAGGCAGGCAAGGGGACAGAGCCTAGTAGGGGACACCAGGGCCTCTATGGAAGTGACCCAAGGCCCACACAGAATAAGCAGACAAGTACATTGAGACAAATACTAAAGGAAAGGGCTTCAGGGCCAGCTTCCTCCTGGGAGTAAAATGCTGCCTGGAACAATGAAAGAAAAAAAAAGGCCCAGGCACCGTGGCTCATGCCTGTAATCCCAGCACTTTGGGAGGCAGAGGCAGGCAGATCGCTTAAGGTCAGGAGTTTGAGACCAGCCTGGCCAATATGATGAAACCCTTTCTCTATTAACAATACAAAAATTAGCTGGGCATGGTGGTGCACACCTGTAATCCCAGCTACTTGGAAGGTTGAGGCAAGACAATCACCTGAACCTAGGAGGTGGAGGCTGCTGTGAGCCAAGATTGTGCCACTGCACTCCAGCCTGGGTGACAGAGTGGGACTCAGTCTCAAAGAAAGGAAAAGAAAAGAAAAGAAAAGAAAAGAAAAGAAAAGAAAAGAAAAGAAAAGAAAAGAAAAGAAAAGAAAAGCTTCCATGCTAGGAGCTCGTGTTTTGAAAGGGAACATTTAAAACCTAAAAGTGTGGGAAATAAACAAGAACAGACGTGTGAATAAAGAAGCAGAAGCTGGAAGCACCTACCTGATGAGGGGGACAGGAGCAGGGAGGGAAGGAGGGAAGAAGGAAGGGAGGGAAGGAGGGAAGGAGGAAGAAATGAAGGAAGGAAGAAAGGAAGGGAGGGAGGGAGGGAAGAAGGAAGGGAGAGAAGGAGGGAAGGAGGAAGGAAGGAAGGAAGGAAGGAAGGAAGAAATGGAGGGAGGGAGGGAGGGATGGTTCTCATGGCTTACCCTGAAACCACTTGAAAGTTAAAATTTTCGTTTCTTTCCTTATCCTCAAAATCTCAATCTTTGTTGACAAAACTGAATTAAAGAAAATCCTGAAGTAATACTTTAACTGCTAGGATTAAAATTTCCATCTGTGTGAAACATTTTCAATTCGTAAAGTTACACGAAGACTTTCTTTTGATTAGCTCACCCTGCTTTAACACAGCGGAATCCCCTCTTCTTTTCCTTCGTGCTCTCTGCGAACCCCTCAGGATTCTTACGTCCTGTTTGTTCTCCTACAAAAAGAAAGGAAAACTATGACTTTAAAGTTCAAGAAATGTGCACCAATGCATAGTTAGAGAGCTGTTGGAGAGCACTTTTTCTGTTGTTCTTTTCTTCAATTTTACTTTGTAACTTTTAAGGAAAGTAAGAATACAGTTCTTTTGAAACTGTGTTGCTTTTGGCCTGAGGTTATTACAAAATAAGACTGTATCCACCTATTACCCATTGGAAGGGCACAGATACTGCTCCCCACTCCCTGAAACACTCCGCTCTCAACTCTGTGAACGCCCTGCTCTGATTTTCCTCATGCCTCACTGGCCCCTCTTTCTTTGTCTCCTCTGCTGATGTCTCCTCCAAGCCAGTTCCCTTCACTCAGATTCTGAGTCCCTTTCCCTGGGTTTTCAAGGTCATCTTATAGTCTAGAAACTCCCAATCTACATCCCCAGCTTCCTCTCCCTGATTCCATGTGGCTGTATCCAAATGCCTACTTGGGATCTTCACCTGGATGGGTAATCAGCGTCTCAAACCCACGATGGCGAAGGACTCTGTTCTGCCCTCTGCCCTCCACCCTTGTCTTCCCATTCTCAGTAAGAGACATGGTTATCCAGTTAATTGTCAAAGCCAAAATTCTAAGCATTATCCCTGATTCTTTTCTTTCCCTCACACACTCTGACAACCCCACCTCCTAATATTGATGCCCAAATCCACAGACTTCCATCTTCTTTAGCCTTCTTACACGTCTACTACCATAAACTCCTAACTGGTTTCCCTGATTCCACTCAGGGCCACAGCGGTCATTTAAAACATACATCATATCAAAGCGTTCTCTTGCCTTCAACCTTCCAGCAGCTTCCCCTGACACTCAGAATACAATGAACACCCAAGACTCTTGTTTACCATAAAACCCTACAGGCCCTGGACCACACGTACCTCTTCAGCTTCATCTCACTCCACTCTCTCCTAAACCACAGTGCCCAGACTTTCTTTTATTTCCTCGAACAGAACATGCTGCACAAGTTCTGACCTTAAGGACTTTCCTCTAGAAGTTCTACTATCCAGAATGCACCTCATGCTTCACTTCACATAGCTGGCTCCTCCTCATTAATCAGGGCACACTGTTCATGCCGTCACCTTTGGGAGGGCTCCCTGACAACCCAGACTGAAGTAGTCAGCCAACCGTAATACCCTATTTTAATTCTCAACATAGCACTCATCACTAGGTAACATTTCTCCTGGTCATTTTGTTTGTGGGTTAAATATCCTCTAAACAAGAACGCAGTGTCTCTGCCAGGAGAGACCTGTCCTCTCTGTCTCATGCATTCCTCTATTCCCAGCTGCTAGAAGAGTGACTCACAAGTAACAGTTGTGTAATACTGATCTTAAGGGAAAGACTTCCACGCCTCAAAGTTCCCTTTTCCTATAGAACCATTAATAGGCGCTTTAGGAATAGGATAGTTATGTCTTAATGCACACATTTTGAATGGCTTTTCTCCAAATACACCTGATATTTATGTGCCGTTTTCTAACCACTCACATAGTTTTATGAGATCCGTCTGCAATTTAATGAAATGGGATTGGCATTTTGTTGTGAAGAGGAATTTCAGATTCATCTACAAGATTAAAGGTTTTGAAAGGTTCCCTCTTACCCTAGCACTAAATTTCAGGACATCCCACTTTTTCACCCTGAGAGAAGGATACTATTACTTATGATTCCCATTTTGAGATCAGGACAGCAAGGCACAGAGAGGCCGGGTAGCTTGCTAACAGTAACACAGATAGTCCTGGAACCCTTATTTGAACTCAGTGGGCTCCAAGCAGTGCTTGTGACTATGATGCTATCCACTAAAGACACATCCCTGTGCTCCTGGTGTCAGACAGAGGCACTCACCATTTCATCCTCTCTCTCTTCTCCATCCTCCTTGGGATCAGTTTTCAGAGACAATTTTGGTTTTTTCTTCCGACTACACTTAGGATCTTCTTCCTCATTGTCTTCTTCTATGTCCCTTTCTTCCTTCTGATCTCTGTTGTGTTATAAACCCAATATAGTGACAGAAGCAATACCCATCAAACATCTACTTGCTGATTATCAATGCAACAATCATTTTTTAAAAAATCACCCTCCAAAGGAAAAATTTTTAACTACCAGAAGAAATCTGTAGGCATGAGAATATCATACATCAGAAACACTGAAAACCACTATTACATATGACACATGTCAGGGCAGAAAATAAAAATTACCTTATATATTCATTTCAAAAGGGGACCACCAATATGTATGAAATAGGTTCTAACAAGTTCTTTATCTGTCACATCTATCAATAAAGGAATTATTTAGAGATACTTGTTTTCAGCACCATTCAAACAAGGATCTAGTAGTTATTAAGAATGACAAATCCAACAGAAAAAAAAGGCTAAGTGTAACTTTGTGAAACATCAGTTAGCCAAGAAAAACTGACAGTTCCTAAGCCTGTGGTGATTAAGATACATGGGAAAGACCACTAAAATATAAACGTCCAGTCATTTCTTTGCAGTGTGCAATGATATGCAAGAAAAACACCTTCTGGCTGGGTGTGGTGGCTCATGCCTGTAATCCCAGCACTTTGGGAGGCTGAGGTAGGTGGATCACCTGAGGTCAGGAGTTCAAGACCAGCCTGACCAACATGGAGAAACCCCGTCTCTACTAAAATTACAAAATTAGCTGGGCATGGTGGCACATGCCTGTAATCCCAGCTACTCGGGAGGCTGAGGCAGGAGAATCGCTTGAACCCAGGAGGCAAAAGTTGAAGTGAGCTGAAATTGCACCATTGCACTCTAGCCTAGGGAATAAGAATGAAACTTGGTCTCAAAAAGAAAGAAAAAAACAGCACCTTCTTGGTAATAAGCTGAACATTGTCAGACAGTCCCCAAATGGGAGAGTCACACACCACTGCCAGTCACAGCTGATGCCTCTGTCTCAAAATCCTCAGCCCACAACTTGAGATCATCAGTGACACAACTCACTACACTCTTCCCTATGGCCATTTTCACTCAGTTGATTATAAATCAGTGGAAGCTTTATGCCATATGCAGAGTTTTAGCTGAGTTACCTAAGAATTCCCAAAATATAAACAAAACTGTGCTTCTATAAATGTCAGTGGCATCCAAATGTGTATGTAGCCCAGAAAAAACCGAAACACTTTTAGCTGAGGAACAATGAAATGAATGACAGAATATTCATCATAGAACTCAGACCAGGCATGATAGATATCACCAGGTCCTATATAGGGGTTAGGGCCCATGTGCCCCTAAAGGGAAAGTCTCTGGAAAAAAGGTATCAATAGGTGCTGAATGTCAGAGAGCACGAAACTTCTATATTCTCGGGCACCATGATATTGGACTCTAAAACTCATTTTATAGATGGAATGGGGCCAAAACCTACTTATCTTTGATGTGCCGAGCACAATTCTGGCTGCAATAGTTTCCTCCAGAAAGACACTCATCTACGTTGCCATACTGACAACAGTTCTCACAGAACTGAAGCCCTTCTACTTTCACTGGATCCTTCAACCTGAAAGGCATCCCAGTCTTCTCTGAAAAGACTAGAAGATGAAAAGAAGAAACACAAATTAACACCATGACAGAAGACATTCCAAAACACAATTAAACTTTTTCTTCTAATAATTTTGTTAGCAACACAATAAAGAATAGTGTTTGTTGAATGAATGAATGACCAAATAGTGTCTCGGGGGGTGTATGGGCTCTGTAGAAAATCATTTCAAGTCATTCAAATAAAATGAAAAAATATTCTGCACGAAGGATAAACAAAAGTTGACCAAGGCTTTTTCTACAGAGTTCAAAGTAAAATGAAGAAAATTTCATTCGTTACTAAATTCAGAAGACACATATATTAATCTGTAGAATCCTATTCTGTATTTGTATCTTTCTGGAAATTTCAAAGGGTCATCCATTATTTCACATTTATAATCTTTTGATGAATGATTTTGTTTTACTTAAATGGCTACATCAACATCTCATCTATTACACTTCTGATGTAACACATTTCCTAAATCATAGCTATCCAAATTGTGTAGGAACTCACATTTCCTTTTGCCTGAATTGTTAGGCTAATCATTCATTCAGCAAACGGTTATTAGGCACCAATTTATTCTAGACATTAATAATGACAGTAGAGACCTTGCCCAAGAGAGCTCACAGTCAAGAAGAGGAGAGGCAAGAAAACCAGTTTTATAATAAAACGTGATACATGCAATACTAGAGGCATAAACAAGGTCCAGAAGTAGTACAGAAGAAGTGATTCATTCAGCCTGGGGTAAGGTCAGAGAAGGATTTTCTGATAGAAAGCCTCAACAGGGTTTTGAAGGCCAAAGAGGAATTTACCAACTGGACAAAGAGAAATGGCATTTGAGCCAGAAACAGCAGTACGAGTAAAGGCAAGAAAGCATGAAACCAGATGATGTGTTGGGAAAATTACACATTAATTCTGTGCTGCTGGCACTGCCAGAACACAACAGACAAAGAAGGAAACAGAGACTGAGGAGGCAAAACGAGCAGGTAGGTGCAGGTCACTCAGCTCTTTGTATGTTCTGCTAAAAAGGTAATGAGAAATCAGTGAAGTGTCAGATAAGCAATCTACATAAGTTCCTCTGGCTTCAAGGGGCAGGACAAATCAGAAGGGTGTAAAATTAGAAGCAGAGTGACATCTGCAATAGCTCAGATGAGAGTTGATAAGAGCCTACATTAAGGCCGTGGCAAAGATGACAGGTAGAAAAGGCCAGATCTGAGACATATTAGGAAATAAAAATCAAGAGGTTTAAGTAACAAGATATGGGGATGGGAAGAACAAATTCAGGATGACTCCTGTATTTCTTGCTCGTCCACTGGGTGGATGGTGCTATTGTCAACTGAAATATGGGTTAGGGAAGAAAGAGCAGGTTTGTTGGGAGGGGAGAAAGAAATAGAAAATGAATTGCATTTCAGACATGTGGAGTTTGAGGTACCTGTGGGACATCCAGGTGGAGATGTCCAGTAGGCAGGTGGAAATACGGGCCTGGAGCTCGGGGGAGAGGTCGGGGCTGGAGATGTAGATTTAGGAGTCATCAGCATATAGGTGTTAGTTACAACCATCGGAGTAGATGAGAAAAAAAGTGGCAGGCTTTTGGCTAAATCACCTGTGTAGGCTACAACATGGATTTACTTAATTTCCAACTAACCTTGTGCTACTACAGATCTGGCATGAGGAAAGAAGACAGTTTATAGTTACTTTAAAATATAAAAGCTGGCTCCTATCAGTTTCATTATAGAAATTTACCTAACAACGTGAGGCACAAATATTACCCGGGGCCTTCAACGTTCCAGCCTATTTAAAACTTTAGACATTTGTATTTTGAATCTTTCAAAAGCAAGAAATAAAATGCAGATGACCCTCCCTTACCTTCTTGAGCAGTTGGTACCATCCAAGTGGTGGTGGCGGTTGCTTTTTTAACATTTTCCATCTCATTCTCATCTGTAATAACTTCCAGGGCTCCAAACTCATTGACCCGAAACTAGCGACAATGCAGAAAGAGGCAAAATTTACAAAAGTGCTCAGGACAGTCATCAGTGATTTAATGGCTGACACATATAGTCTTCAAGCAAATTAATTATGTGTTAAAAGTTAATGTAGACAATTATATCCTGATAAGCCTTCCACCAATACTAAGACGTTGGCATTTTACTAATTTTGTAATTCAAGGAAGGAGAACAGAACAAAGCAGCAAGGTCTGCTGAAGGATATCAACAACCCTGCTCTGCCCTGTCCCATAGAGCTGGCAGTTTACTTGGATGAGCTGTGTGTGTGTGTGTGTGTGTGTGTGTGTGTGTGTGTGTACTAAGACATTTTTTCTTACATATTGTTTCTTATTTAATAATCACATTTAGTAAAAAGAGAATTACTCTTTTCCCAGGAATCAACTTGTCTTGCCCAAGCTCACCCAGTTAAGAGAGAAGGAATATCCCTATCCCAGAAATAATGGCGTGGACATCCTTCTCCTTATATTCCAAGACATGAGCACAGAAGGCTGAAGCATGAGCCACGTGACCCCAGGGCCTCACTTCCTTTTCCTTTCACTGCTCTTTAGAATTCTGCATTATCTTCACCTGCAATCCTCTAAAATAACTGGAAATTTCTCTGAGAGCTGAACAAGCAGTCTACTAGCCACATGCCGATTTTATCACTAAAAAGCAAGAGCATCTTGATTTCATGGGCATTCTCATTCCAAATACTGAAAATTTCCTCTCACCTGACAGCAAGCTTCAAACAAAGTATGTTTCTAAAACAACCTGGTTGTACTGTGTGTGTGTGTGCACGTGTGTGTGTGTGTGTGTGTGTGTGTGTGTGTGGAAGACTTAGCCATTAACTATGTGTGGAGGCCCTATTCTCTCTGAAACAGCTAGATTCACTAACACACATTCATGAGTTTCAAGCAGTTTTCTGTATTCCTTCTGTTTTTCCATAAAACAGAGTAACATTAGGGACCCACTAATTTTAACAGGTGATGAAGAACTAGAAAGCTCAGAATTCAAAAGGATACTAAGATGTTTTAGATCTTTCACAGAAATTATGAACATGCAAGTATGCAGTATTTAAGCAACCCCCTCCATTTACCAATGCGAAAAAATCTATTTGGTCAACGTGCCAATAGAATTATTTATTTTACTGAACTACATTCTGACTGCAAGTTGGAAAACTGTTGGGCAAAAAGTATCAATAGTTTTCTTTCTGCCAGGTGAAAATAGCACCTTAAATACTGTTCTATGCATAGTCCACAATTATTAAATGATTTCTAGACTAAAGGTGCGGAAACGGGTAAGGAACGTGAGAATATTTTCTCCCTGTTACATATTCCAGATACAACTTCCCAGGCAGGTGAGTATTATACCAAGTGTGTATACCAAAATGTCTATATAGGAAGAGGTAAAAATGTATTTAGAAGGAAAAGAGCTAAAAATAACTTTACTTTTGGAAAAAGAAATCTTTAAAAAAATGTTTTTAATGATCACGCTGAAGACAGAATATCTCAAAATAAGGCTGACAGTACCATCTGCTGGGCAAGAGCAGAAAAAACAAGCTATCATGATAATTATTAATTAACAATATTAAAGAATACGAAAAAAATCAATTTGAATTAAAATTTAAAAAATAGGCACAAGCTTGACAAAGCACTTCAGGTAAATTTACTTTTATCATATGTTACTGATGTTAACTTATGCTTATTCGACAAATACAAAACATAAGAAATAGTATCAAACATTTACATTAAACAGAAATTCTCCCATGGCTTAAGTTTTCAAATTGCTGTAAAACAGGAAACCACCTTCCATTTCAAACACTGAGAAAGAAAACACCACTGAGTAGAATTTCCAAGTGAGAACTCAGACCTATGACACCTAGAAGCTTCAGGTTCAAATACTTTCAAAGTTAAAAGGAAAGATTCCCACAATGCAACATTCAATCCCAGTCAGCTTTTCCTTCTCCTCAAATTTATTGCCAGTAACTGACCTACAGTCTAAGTACAAAGTAAAGATGCAATGTCACTTAGGGACACAGTTCACTCTTCTAAGCCAGAGATCCACAGATAGACTTTGAGGGTTGATTAATCCCATAAAATACATGCAAAATTATGATATGTGCACACAGACAGTTTTCTGGGGATAAGATTCAGAATTTTCAAGGCATACTAGAAGCCTGAAAAAATAAAGAACATCTGCTTTTACCAAAGTTGCTTATCTCAAAAATTAAATATCTCAATATGCAAAAACATACAGGGTCAAATTTTTCTCTGACTTCTCAATTTGGACTTACTGCGTCTTCCACAACATTGCTATGGTAGAAAATATTACACCACAAAGGTTGTCAGGTCCTGCTAACATTACTGAAGTCCTACAGACAGAATTCTAGAAAGACTGATACATTTCCTAACACTATGTCTTCCAATAAAACACCCAGGTTCTGAAATTGGTGACGCTTTTACAAATGGTTTTGGAATGATGAAAATTTCACCTTTGTTTATGTATTTTTTAAATCATTAGTTCTAACTTAGAGAGCTAAAATATGATAAAAACTTGCCAAGTGGCTCCACTCTACAACCAAGAAAGTCAAAATTATAAACTTTACAAAAGGGATTTAATATTAAGCAAACAAAACACATCTGCTAACCTTTTCTGCATGTGGATACATCCAGGTCGATCAGAAAACAATTATGCCTAAATATATAAGGGACTGCACATGTTTTGTTTGTTTGGCTTGAACTGCCTTTAACTGATTCAATTCTCTTTTTTATTTTTGGTAGAGGCAAAGGATCTTTTGCCTGTATTTGACTGTTTTAATAATAAATCATTAAAAGGCACTGCTGAGGTTATTGTTATTACCTTCAGTGCTGAGATCTGAATCGACTTAACAGTGTGTTTTAAGGGCAAAGATGTTTGATAACTAAATTGTTTTGAACATTAATCAGAGCAAGGCAAAACCATAAGAGTGTGGTGAATTTTACTGCTGGGTTTCTGCCTGCTGCTGCAGGCAGGGTCTTGCTCTTGGCTAAGTGGCAATTATTCTTACTACACAATATGACATCCTCTCAGAAGTGTATCTGCATTTTACTGAGGGACCCTGAAAGACATTATGACCCAGAGCAATAATTCTCTGTGGATAAATTTCAGACATCATTAGAAGTTCAGGTAGGGAAACTGCTCAGGTATGGGAAGCCCTACCATGTCCCTCTGCACTGTCACTTAGTCATCTCCCTGTTCTTACAGCTGGCCCTGAGACATTCATCTACAAATGCTAATTTGCGTTTTAAAAAGACAAGTTAGGCACTGGTAAAGTTTACAAGGCTTGCTTAGGCAAAAATGTCTTAATGACTGTAATATTTTCCAGAATGTCAGTGGACCCTTGCTGTTTTCTCCCTTGACACTCTGAACCTTGTTAAGCTAGTCCCTCTTCTGGAAGCCCTTCTTCTCTTCTCCTGTTCCTGCCTCCCTAAAGTATTCATGGAGATTCCTACGTATTTCCAGGCACCTGAAGCTGGTTATCAAACCCTTCCTGGATCCCTCCAGCTTAAATAAATGTTTACCTCCTCTAATTCCTGCAACATTTTCCTTCCATGTCTTTTGATATGAAAGTGTTTTCTCTCTTTAGACAGCAGTATAGCAATGGTAAGACAACCCATTTTAAATATCAGAAAAGCCTGGTTTTAAGATCCCTGCCAGTAACTGACCTAAGCAAGTCAGGCTTCCATTTCCCCATCTGTAGACTGACAAGAGAGATAGAAACTACCTTAAGAAGGGTAAAATAAAAGAAATAAAAAGATGCAGGTAGAGTGTTCATCAAAGAGTACATCCTCTATTCCTTTCCCTACTGCACCCAGAGAAGATGTCTGTGCTCTGTTTATAGAAGCTTTTGTTAGCCCAGTGTGGAGAAGGGATTCCAGCAACAGGGAACAGTAAAAAGGGCCCAGTATGTGAAGGCTTCAACTAGTGGTTTGGGCTGGGTAGAAAACAAGAGTGGTACTGGGAGTGAAATTAGACATGGCCAGAGAGGAAAGCAGAGGCCAGACCACCAAAAAACTCTTGCGGTAAACTTAAGGGGCTTGAACTTTACCAAAAAGATTTGGGCAACTACTAAAAAATGTTAAAGAGAAGGGTATAACTTGATTGGATAACAATCATAGGGCTTTTACAGGAAAAGTTGTTTCAAAACAGCAAAAATTGGGGCATATAAAAACCTGTTCCCATGACAAGAAATTGGCTTCTATAGATTTACTGACTATATTAACTGAACTAACTTCAGCCTAGGAAATCTAGAGGCCTTTACCCATTGAAAAACAGAAGCCTGGGTAGGATAAAATAGGCAAAGAATGATGTGAGAGAGAAAATGTCATGATTCACTCAAAGTTCTAATATCCTAATTTTGTGAAAAATCAATTTCTTAATCAGATTTCTAAAGCAACTTGTATTTTAAATAGGAAGCAAGTGAATTAGAAATCCTCAGTAATATAATCAATTGGGTCATTCTGAATCTCAGATAAAAATGGTTATAAGGTTGAAAATGACATTTAAATCATTTTTTTAAGTGAGGTATCAAACTGTCTACAGTACATGAATTGGATACATGGCAATTACCCAGATAATTAGATGAGTCTGAAACTCATTATCAAATAACCCAGATGATAATTCCCACTAAACGGCTTAATTACCTGATTATCTTAATACAAGTAATAGGTTAATTTCTAAAACTCATTGCTTAGAAAACTTTAAAGCAATCCAGATTTCTTAGGGATGAAACTTCACTCTACTGTTAAAAAGCTAACTGAACAAAACACAAATTTCATCAACCACGTGACTTTTATTTAAAAAGCCATTGAGAAGAAAGATATAAAAAGCCATTGATTAGAAAAAGGGAAATAAGGAAATAAAGGAGTAAAGCAATTAAAAATGGCAGTTTCCATAATAAGTCACAAAGCCGGAAAAAATACAATTGTTAAGTTTAAGTTCCATATCTACTATTTTTTTCAATCCTCAAAACCACCTTATCACATAGATTCTAATATCCCAGATTTTACAGATAAGATTTCCAAAACTTAGGCAATTGAAATAATTTGACAAAGATTGGGTAGCTATTATGTGGTTGACATGATCAATTTGAGAAACAATTTTTCTTTCTCAAAACTTTCATCAGTCTTTCTCTGTCATATCTTATCCAGATGAATATTTGGAGAACGCTAGAGCAGGTAAAATCCTTAACATTCATTTAATTCCTAATTTACTGTAGAGGAAACTTGACCCACAGATTAACTGACTTTTTCAAGGTCATACACAGCTAAAATTGAAAACCCAATCTCCTCTCCAGATTCTACTAAACCTCAGTGCAACATTTTTGTTACACTAAACTCGGAGATGTTGGCACATTGCATTTAATTAAACCAAACCCATAAGTATTTCCAATGACAGGCAGATTGTCCAAATCTCAACACTGAAGATGAGCTAGGGCAGGCTTGGCTTAGGATACTTGTCAAACAGCCACTAAAAGGGATTACATTCCAAAAGTCCTAAATTAGTGGGGCAGGAATGTCTATTCAAGACAGCCTAGAATACCAAACATTTGAGAGGTAAGCCAAGCAATGGCCTGCTGGGGAGATGGGAAGTTTAAATACCTGAATGAGCAAGTGCAAACACAAAGTCTAAAGGGCCACAGACAAGTTCAAGGTTCCAGAGATAGGATCAGAGCAAAAGTAAATTAGAAATTAGAGGTGGGGGTAGTTGGTTTCCCAGATGGGTGCTTGCACAACCATGTTTCATGGGACAACAGGAGTGGTCCTGGAATAGGTTTAGGGTTATTGGGAAATGGAGGCAGGGCAAGCATACGTAAAAGGAGCAGACTGAAGTATTGCTCTCCAGAGTTCTCTTCTATACTAAGGCAGACCAATTTACAGGAAGAACCTGATTTTGAACAAGTTATTATATAAAAATCCATACTTACATTATAATTAAGAGAGGTAAATAATCCTATTTATTCAGTACTTTAACATTATCCAGTTTTTAAATGAAAACTCTAGGACAATCTAAGATATTGTGGCTATTCACTCAAAGTTACAAAGCCCGTTATACAAAATCAAAAAAGGTAAGTCTTCTAAGTCTGCCATTTTTGCATTTACAGGCTGTCATGGAAGTGTGAAAACTGAGATGAACCTTCTTGAAACCATAAGTCAATTTCTGCAAAATAAGCACATGCAGAAATACTCCTTACGCCCCTGATCCAAGTGACAAAGGCTCTGCCATTCCATCAGCATTTCAAACTGTCTTGCAAATTTATTTTGGAGGTCTAAGCATCATCTAAAACCTACACTACTATGATTAATGCTTTTAATTTTTATTCCACATATATTCAATTTTAAGTAAGCATACACACAGATGCGCACACACATAATTGTACGTAATAAAGAGGGCTTACCTTTAAGTCACTTCCTGGTAATGTGCCCACTCCATCTTTCCAGTCCATAACACTGAATACATCAAACTCTTGACCACCTGTGCTAGAGGCAGATTCAGTCATGATTTATTTTTTAACCTGAAAAGAGAAAAGAAGGCATATCACTAAATATTCTGCATGGAAATCTGTTTTTAATTTAGTACTCATTAGTTCAGTTTCCTTTAATTACATAATTTTCTTGATCATAATATCCCATATCCCTAGATCTAAGAACAGCTACTTCCAAAAATACTACCTTTTTTTCCTAGCATGATCCTTGGAAAATTATATAGAAAAAAAATAATAAAACTGTCTAAGTTAAAAAGTGTTATGGTAAACTTTTTCTATTCATAAACCAAAGAAATTCATTGATTCAATGCATATTCACTTAAAAAAAAAGTCATAATGCCGTATGGATAGAATTCCTTGCCTGTATGTAGTCTGTCCTCTGTTTTAAGACACTAAAAAGAATAGATATGGATAAAGGATAAAATTAACATAAAATGTTGATTTTTAAAAAGAAGCCATTTTGATAATAAAAAAGGAAAATTCAATTATTGATTGTCATCTACACTAACTTTATCAATTATTTGTTGTACTGTTCCATCAATACAACAAATACATAATGTGATTGAGTCTTTTGGTAAATTCGTTTATTCAGATCCATTGAATAATCTGCCAATTTGTTATTCTAGGAAATAGGAAAAATGTCTCAAAATGTAAAGCAAACACCCATAATAAGTCTCTGTTAAAATAACCAATTTGGCTACCTAAACTGTGATAACATTTCTAATTTTCTTTTTTTTTGAAAAACTGGAGAACAAATTTCCATAATCATATCATTGGCTGTAGTATTGATATTGTTGTTCTAAGACTGCTGTCTGTGTAACATGAGAAAAACAAATAAGTAATTATGTTGGTATCATAGAAAACTGGTTAAAGATGGGTCCTAAATTTGAATGGAAGTATCACTATGAATTAATGATGTATTTTATCTTTAGAAATATGAGTATTTTCTAGTTTTGTCCACTAAAAAAATCTAGAAACAATAATCAATCAACAGTAATAAGCAGCCTAGCTTCACACTGTGGTGTCTAAATACCATTTCTCGCAAGTCTCCCCATAGAAGGAGCTGATTTCTGCTCAACAGCAGGAAATGTCCAAGATGAAACTGAAACATTTTGTCAAACAAGAAAGCAAAGAAGCTATCAAAGACAACGGAAGCCATATCCAAAGAACTCAAGAGCCAACCTGAATAGGCTCCTTCTGGCCAAAGAAAGGCAAAGTAGAATCCTTACTAATTACTAGCTACAGTGAACTGAAACACACCAAATAAATTTAAATCTACAAGTTCATAATGACATTCAAATCAAACAAATAAAGCAAGAACACCTCATTGATCACCTTTTGAGGATTCAAGGAAATCAACTATTTGGAAAAAGAAACATAGATTTATCCTGCCTTTCCAATGTGAACTGTATGTTAGAGTAACCAAATCGTTGGGCAGAAAAAGTTTCCCCTTAGAAAGAATTGCAGCTAATAAATGAAGAAGGAATGATAGGCTATTATAATTTGTAACCTTTAATAAATTAATGGTTCTAGGCAACGACCATTGATGGCTGCCAGGAATGCAAACGCAACACCATCTATGAAGTAGCCTTGCCAGGAAAAAACAAAATCAAACCTAATCTGATCAAGTCTATTTATAGGAGCTATCAGAGAAAGCAAGCATGTTAAATCACACCACAAAGATATGAGGAAGAAAATCCAGATTACCAGAAACTCTTTAGCAGCATTTTTCAAAGCATGCATTCCTCAAGGGTCTCTAAGACCCTTTCAAAAGGTCCCAGAAGTCAACTATTTCATAAAAATACTGACACATTCTTTGCCTTCTTCACTGTGTTGACATTTGCATTGATGGTGCAAAATCAAGCGGGTATAAAATTGCCAGTGCAGTGTCAATAACTGTAGTAGCAATCATTGCATTGTTCCCCACCATGCATGCACAGTAAATAAATGTCAGTTTCACTAAGGACCACTCTCGATGAAGTCAAAATAATAAGTGATATTAAGTCTTGATATCTGAATATGCATCTTTTTAATATTCTGTGTGATGAATGGGAAGTACTTTGGCATGCTAAAGTACCACGGATGCAAGCTCCTGGTTTTTAATGAAATGCCTTTTTTACTTAACAAGCTATATTTATTTGGGTTTGGTTATCTGGTAAATATTTTGTCAAAAATTAATGAAGTCGGCCTTTCACATGAAAGAAAATACTAACAGTATTTGTAGCTAACAATTAAATTTGAAACTTCAAGAGAAAAATCAGGATTTTGTAAAACTCATATGCATCACCATGAGCTTGCTAGCTTCCAGATGGCTAAAGACTTTTCTAATGCAATGGATGGGTGGTGATAGCAATGGATGTGATTTTTAAAATATTTCATAATGAAATAAGTCAACATTTGGAAGATCTGCATATCTCAGTAAAGCAGTATTTTCAAAATGACCAATGCATGACGGTACAAAATTATGCATGGGTAAATGATCCATTCAAAGTGCAATATGGACCAATAGATTTTAATGTTAACAGATTATGGTTCATAATTGATAAGGTTCATTTATAAGGTTTCAAATTGCACATTGCAATTAAACTTTAAGAAACTACTACCACCTGTCAAGTAGTGTGGTAACTAAAGATGTCCACTATTAAATGAAAAAGCTAATTAAAATATTCCTCCCTTTTCCAACCTCACATATGCATAAAACCAGGTTTTTTTCATATACTTCAAACAAAACAACCCAACACAACAAGAATGCAGAAGCAGACATCCAGCTACCTTCTATTAAACTAGACATTAAAGAGATTTGCAAAAATGTTTAAAAAATGCCATTTCTCTATTTCTTTTATTTTGGAAACTATGACTATGTTTCATAAAAATTATGTTTATGTATACTATCATATACTGGGTTTAATGTTATTTTTAAATAGTTTAAACTATTTCTAATTCAGTAAATATATATACATATATATGAACTAAAAAAAAATACTTCTTTGAGCTTTCAACCATTTTTTAAAGTAAAAAGGAAAGCTGAGAGCAAAAAGTCTGAAAGCCAATATTGTAAACTACAAAAAAAGATGGGAAAGGAAGTATGATATTTAGATGAAAAGGGATTTAAGAAACATAGCAACCAATCACAATATTACAATTCATAGATATTCTGTGGACCCTGATTCAAACAAAAGATTACTAGACAGGAAGGAAAGTATGAATGCCAAACTGGGTATTTTACGAAATTAAGGAAATATTGTTGTTGTTTTTTTTTTTAGGGAAATTATGACAGTATATACTTTTAAAAGGGGAGTTATTCCTTGTATATTAGAGGCACAAACTGAAATAAATAGATGAAATGATGTAATGTGAGAAATTTGCTGTAAATTAACAAGGAGATGAAGCGGCAATAAATTGGCAATGTGTTGGTAATTGTCAAGATGTGTAAAGGGTTCATGAGAGTTTATTCTACACAACATCCTAATTTTGTATATGCTTGAAAATTTTGTTCAAAAATTCAAGATTTTTTAAAATGCAATCTCCTTACATATGTAATGTACATTCACTTTTAAATACTCAATAGGAAAAAACTTCTGCTTCTTTTAATTACAGCTAACTTCTGCTGGAATTTACTGGATACTTCAATACTTTTTCTTCTGCTTTCCCCCTTAAATAGAGAAAATATCAAATATTCGATATATTATTAAGTCTATTTCTGATCATCTCAAAACTTACATAATGTAAATTTGAAGAAGAATCAGATTTTACAGACCTCAAAAGCACAAGCAACAAAAGCAAAAATACATAACTGGGATTGTATGAAACTAAAAAGATTCTACACAGCAAAGAAAACAATCAACATAGTGAAGAGGAACCCTGCAAAGTGGGAAAAGATACTTGCAAACTATCCATCTGACAAGGGATTAATAACCAGATTATATAAGAAGCTCAAACAATATTGCAGTAAAAAGCAAATAATCCGATTTGAAAATGGGAAATGATCTACATAAATATTTCTCAAAAGAGGACATATAAATGGCCAAAGGGTACATTAAAAAAAATGCTCAGAATCACTAACCATCAGATAAATACAAATTAAAACCACAAGGAGATATCATCTCACCCCAATTAAAATGGCAATTATCAAAAATATTTTTAAAAATGTAGGTGAGGATGCAGAGAAAGGTGAACTCCTATATTGTTAGTGGGAATAGACAGTAGTATGGCCACTATAGAAAACAGCATGGAGGATCCTCAAAAAGTAAAAAATAGAAACACTATATGATCCAATGGTCCCACTACTGATAGCATATATCCAAAGGGAAGGAAATCAGGTATCTGTAGGCCCATGTTTATTGCAGCACTATTCTCGATAGTCAAGATATAGAATCAGCCTAAGTGTCTATGAGCAGACGAATGGATTTTAAAATGTGGTTTACACACACAAAGGAATACTCAACCATAAAAAGAAGTAAATCCTGTCATTTGTGACAGCATGGATGAGCCTGAAGGACATTATGTTAAGTAAAAGGTAGGCACAGAAAGATAAATATCACATGTTCTCATTCATATATGAGGGCTACAAAAGTCTCATAGAAGCAGAAAATAGAACAGTGGTTACTAGAGGCTGGGAAGGGTAACAGGAGGGAGGGAATAGAGAGAGGTTGATTAATTAGTATAAAACTACAGTTAAATAGGAGAAATATGTTCTAGTGTTCTATAGCACAGTAGGGTGGATACAGTTAAAAATAATTTACTGTGGGCCGGGCATGGTGGCTCATGTCTGTAATCTCAGCACTTTGGGAGGCCAAGGTGAGCAGATCACAAGGTCAGGAGTTTGAGACCAGCCTGGCCAACATGGTGAAACGCCGTCTCTACTAAAAACAGAAAAATTAGCTGGGAATGGTGGCACGTGCCTGTAGTCCCAGCTACCCTGGAAACCGAAACAGGAGAAATCTCTTGAACCTGGGAGATGGAGGTTGCAGTGAGCCGAGATTGTGCCACTGCACTTCAGCTTGGGCAACAGAGAGTGAGAATTTGTCTAA